AACAGTCTTGCGCTGGCAGGTGTCCTTAAATACTCTTTCTTCCTCTTAAAAGTCTTAATCAGAAATATGATTTAATCCGCGGTAAGAACTGTAGTCGTTTTTGCAACTGGTTTTTGCCCAGTTCTGCCACATCGATTATTACCATAATTTTCCTTGAACCCGAACGTTTTGTCATTTATAACGTGACATCCCTTTACATGGGCTGATCATGAACGCACTTTGAACTCCCAGTCATTACTCACGTGCATATTTGCATTTTGTATTTTTGAACAAAAAGCCCACTATAGTTAAAACCATTCATTTGAATAATATGCATCCGTCGTAGTCACCTCAGTACTGGAGCGATCAATCATTGCTGGACCATCTCTCCTCGCTGAAGCCAAAATAATCCCACGATGGGTTCCTTTTCTGTTATGGCTTGTAGGATATGGGATTTATACGTGACTCATTCTATTGTGACGGGCTGGTGGCTGTCTAGAATCAATACTTACAACACAAGCTTATTCTGTGCCTGGGTTGTGTTTCTATGCGACTTGGTGTATATCATGGACGCGTTGGCGAGAGTGAGTAAAAACTCAGTCTGTTCCGGGCCTTCCATTTCATTTTTGTTCAAGAAACAAACGGAACCGTGGACACTTTTAGAAACTGTTATTTCTGTGTTAAATTTTACAACGTTTGTTCCTTTTCACGTGCTGGTTCTTTTAGAACTGGATATTTCTGGTCTGTATCTAGTTGTTTGCGGGGTTCGCTTGGCGCGACTCTTGCAAACTGGACGAATTTATTGCCATGTTATCTGGACAATTTCGAAATTATTGGAAACTGGTCGGCTTCGTGCTCAGGAAAAGAAAAGAACTTCACCAATGGCAACAGAGAAAGAAAGTTGGAAGAAAACAGAGAGAACAAGAGCGAAAAAATCTCCGTTTTTGGAACATATCGAGATGTTAAAAGCCATGGAGTTGGAACACAGAGACTGGAAGAGAAAAGAGATGTGCTTTGTTAAACAGCGCTAAGTATTACAAAAATCTGCGGCGAAATCTGAACAATTTGTGATACAGCACGTCGATACCGGATTTATTTTGACCGTAATGGACACACAGTATTGTTTTCACATATGTTCCGCTCGAAATGATTGAATGTGTTATGTAATGATGAACTTCTGCTGTGTATATTTAGTTAATGTGCTGACTCGTTGGCAGAAAAAAAAAATAACAAAAACGAAAAAAAGGGCCTATACATTGGGTTTAAGGTTTTCAATGCAAATATTAAACGGCAGGTTACTAAAATCTACCCGTCCATCGAGCTTGTTAAACTTCTATTCGGTCCTCTTACGTGTATATGCTAATATCTGAAACAATGATTTGAGTTGTTTCATCTTTCTCATTACTATTTTTGTTCAAAGGTCAGAAGGACAGACTTTTCTGATAACCGTAACGATTTTCTTTTCTTTCAGCTTTAAATGCGTGCCAAAAACGTGTATATAGTGTACACTCATTAAAAAACTACAAAACATAAATTTCAATAAATGTTATTTTGTAAAAAAAATATCTCAGTAGATGACTGCAAACCATGAAGCGTAGACATTTTTCTGTGTTGTTTACTGAAAAAGTTGAAAAAAATGTTGCTTCACTCGATTCGGTTGTAGAATATTTTGTATATCTCGCCGTAATTATTTGCAAGCGAGAAAAAAAAAAAAAGATTTTTGGGCTAGGTCAAACGAGATATTTTCTAAACCCGCAACGCACGTACGTTATAAAGTTCAAGAGAGCCCATTTAGTTTGTTAATGGTTACATAAGTTATGTCGGTTATTTATCTGTTTAATAATAGTAATAATGATTGCCCTTATCCCGATCCAAGGCTGTTAATTCAGCAAGTTGTTTGGTTAAACCCAATGATGTAAAAAAACAAATTTTATTTAATAGAGGAAATATGTTTCTGTGGCACAGAATTTAATTAAATCAAAATTTGCCTTCTATCTAGACTCCTGCCTTGTCTTTAATTAGCTTTTATTGGCATCATGTATCATGAAGCAATACTTTAATGATTCCAATGATTCCAACATCATTAAGCAAAACTAAAAAAGAAAAAGAGGCACTCAATATTCGCTCACGGGTGAGCAATGCTACCTCGATTTGTTCAGTATTCGCTGTTATTTTCTTTTGTTTGTTCAATCTTCATTTTAGTCTTTACAGAATAAATCCATACGTCTGCCATTTCAAATTCAACATGACTCGACTTTCGCCATGCTCTTTCTATTCTCTAAGGGAGTAAAGCTTTAAGGAAGGGGAAATTGTCATCCTTTATTTTTCGTTCTACGCATTCTTTGTTCACGTGCAAGCTACCTGACATTTATATATTCGCCTACCTCCTTAAATCTCTATAATCAGGTGGTAATTAGGTTAGACATTTATAGTTCATGCAATCTTAAAAAAACGAAGACGGAAAAGCTACATAACTGCATCAACTTTGAACATCCTCTGTTACTGACGCTCGTTCGCGTTCTGCGAAACGAGTTGAACGTCCGCTATGAACATATAATTTATGCGTCGCCATATAATCCCCTTGGAGCGAAGTGTACTTTTGCATTAGCTCTTAGTGATGAATATAGCTGAAAAACATTTAGCACGTCATCAGTTTAATTAGGTGTTCCCGAAATCTTCTTCGTTTTAGTAGGTAATTTTATAAGGCAACTTTTGCGCCGGTTTGACCCCTAACTGACACAGTCAAATCTTTCCGGCACTTTTAAAGCGTGACTTATAGTGTCCGTCTTGGGCAGAGATGTCATAGAGATCAAGTAAAGAAAGTAAAGAAAGGCAGGGACCAACTCAAGGTGTCTGTTTTAGCAGGGTATGGTTTTCAAGTTTACCAGAGCGTTTGGGTCTAGAATAGGGTATCATTTTTCAGGAAACTGATCAGTTTGTTGAAGATTTTATCTAGACTAGGGAAACAGTTACTCAGCTGAACTAGCTCTGGTATAGGTTAAGGGTTCCAGGGTCCCAGCGGCACATCCCCACCCAGAAATTCCTAAAGAGGGGTTTTACTGTTCGTGTTAAAGATGTGTCGGAGAGACTGTAAACCTCGTCACATGTTCACGTGTTCAACGTCCAGACAGCACAAAGAGCCGACGTGACATAACGAGCATTCTTCTCGCGCTTAAAGTAACTCATCTATAAACAAATTTGACATGTCTGAACTGAAGCTCCAATGATCAGTAGAATGGTTGAGAAACTATTGGCTATAGGTTTTTGTTAGCTTTTTTTTGGACCTGACATTGCACGATGTTCAATAACGTTCCTATCATTTTAAAGTTTTTGACCAATAGAAACATTGCATTAATGTATTCAGTCATAATTTGTGAACAGAAAACAAGGATTGTGCACGGTCAGGGAGCTTCCAACAAACTACAGCACCATTGTTTTCAACTTTGATGTTTGCCGGGTTTCCTAACCAGTCTCCTCTACTAACTATGTAATTGATTTAGAGACCTTATACGGTACACTGTTTCCTGGAGCGGCGAGGGTGTATGGATAGGCAAACAAGTTTGCCATACAGCTAAATATAAGGGGGACCCCTGAAAGTGTTCAAACTTCAACAAGATGACATATTAGAACTGGAAGTTTCGGGATTCCTGACACATGATGGCCTTTAAGTTATTTCTTTATTCAAAACCCCAAGTGAGCTCTCGCCTTAAGCGATACCGTGAGTAAAAAAGAAATGGGCTTTCCATTCTGAAAACTCGGACACTTCAAGTGAGCCAACCACCCTCCGCAATTTTTAACCCTGAGCGAGACTTAGCCCACTAATTCTTTCTATATACTTAAGCATATATGAACACTGTATGGGAGTTATCCTGCCCCCGGCCCCGTCTTAGAAAATGAATTGCCTAATTGTAAGTTGAACCTTGTACTATGACTTACGACCTCTCCTATCATTATCATTAATTTTGTAAGCCACTCATTTGTGAAGTATCCTTAAGCGTCTGGAGGATTGTAATTTTACTGCACATACTGGGTTACAAATACAAAGAAATTATGTTTAGGCTTTGCCCCCTTTGTAATAGATACGAGATGAATTCCACTGTTTGTTGAAATGTACTCGTGATCACTCATCACTTTCTCATATAAGGGGTACCTTCTTGGAGAGCCTATACTCGATAAAGAGTAATTTTACGAATATGTCTTGCAAGGCACTATTTTTAAATATCATGTCCATGTGCGATGAAAACGTCATAAATATTAGTGCCTCTTATATTGAAAGTATCCTAAATTGTTATAAATCCGAACTCTAATTTAACTTTCTTACCATACGAGTAGCGGAGAAGCCGTACATAGCCAAGTAATTTTTTTTAAATTTAATATTCGATATTTAGTTGTTGTTTCTTTCTTTCTTATCTTTTATTTTACTTTGTTTCATTTGTAATTATCTGTTTAAAATTGCGCACCTTTTCTCGGCCATTCAAAAGGCTCGGCTTATTTCGCGGGGCTGCAGAGTGACCCAGGCTGAACTTAAAGGTTTCTTTCGAAGAGTCCATATTTTTTCCAGAACTGTTGTGTCTTTTTCGAATTAACTTGCAGAGTCATCTTTATTTCGTCGTGAAACGTCTCGACTCGCTTACTCACTATAGGTAACAAATAACTTGTTTCTTAATATGCTTACATGAAAAAGCACGGCCAATATACCGTAAAATTCCGAAAATAAGCCCCTCCATGTATAAGCCCCTCTAAACATAAGCCCCCCAAACCGGTCCAAATATAAGCCCCCCGGGGACTTGTACTTGGAAAATTGCCCTCAAACACAAAGTAGAACAAAGCAAAAACGGTAAATTTACTTCCAACTATAAGGCTAGCCCAATCGATTTTGAAACGCAAATTTCCCTCCGTAGATAAGCCCCTCCAAATATAAGCCCCTCCAAAAATGTCCCTCAAAAAGGGCCTTTGAAAAATATAAGCCCCAGGGCTTATTATCGGAATTTTACGGTATATCTGTCGTTTTGTTGACATCTCAGGATTTAGTCACTTAAAATATCGGCCTCAAGAACTGTCGTCTAAAGCAGCAACAATCGTGCATTGTCATTTGTTTGTTTGTTTTTGTTTTTGAAAATATCACGGAAGCATTTCTTACTTTAAAGACTTCATGCTTTCAAAATTTTGCTTATGGTCTAAGGCTTACCGTAGTTATGGTAAGTCCAGTAGTTAGCACTGACGTTTAGCGCTGTACAGCAGAATTTACATCATTTTTTACTGAGACTTTTGAGACCTTTCTGTTCAATTTTCAAGATCTGCAAAAAAACCTTCGTTTCCGTAACCCACGACATTCCAAAACGGAGATCAGTTTCCTTTGTCCACTTTCTTCAAAGCGTTTTAATTTTTTAACCCTTGAGGGAGATTTTTTTATGTTCAGTTTTTAAGATCTTTCTTTTCAAACGGAGAAGGTCTCGTTCAAATTTTTACCCGTGACAGTTTTCGTTTCAATTTCAACCATAAGGTATGTCTGAAAATTCTTTCTGCTTGTAACAATCGCGCGCAGCAAGATGCGCAAAATGACCAAATACAGACCAGAAATATCCATCTCTATGAGAACCAACATATGAAAGGGTACAAATGTTATAAACTTCCATCTTCCATCCAGAGATTACATTTGCTAGAGATGACCAGGATACACGCGATGTCGGACGAGAAACAGCTCGAAGCGATCAAGGAATCGTTGGAGTTTTTGCTCGTCCTCGCCAATTGCATCCAGGATGAAAATCGAGTAACACATATCTTCTAAAGTAGTCCATTGCTCATTGTATACCGCCTTTTTCCGTGAGAAGGGAGCGCTAGCATCGTTAGAGTCTGTTCTTTAACTTTCAAGAACGAGTTTGTGGTACTAGCACGTGCTTCTCTGCTGAAAGTTGCCTGATTTTAACATCCGAGAAAATGCGCGCAAACGAAGAATGACGACATAAAGGTTTAATAAAAGCGCGCTGTCTGAAGTCGTTGATCAATTAAATAGTCGTTCTGTGGTGAACGCTCATGGCTGCTTACAATGTGATTTTGTCCCGATTGTGGGGATTTTACGTGACAAACACCGTGGTCACCGGTTGCTTGATCGCAAGCTGCAATCCAGACAATACGAGCTTGCTGTACGCTTGGTTGGTTTCCTTATGTGACTTAGTATACATGACAGACGCACTTGCAAGGATTGGAAAGCGGGTCTACAGAACAGTTATTACTGCAAATCTGGCGTTGTTGAACCGTAGATCACCTCTCACTAGCTGTGGGATGCTTGTAATTTTGCTTAAAAGTTTGACCCTTGTTCCGTACCATGCAATGGTATTTAAGGAGCTGGATGATTCCTGGTTTTATTCGGCTGTGTGCGCTCTTCGCATAGCAGTTCTGTTATCATCTGGAAGATTTTATGTGATGAAGGCAATTTTGAAAACAAGAGAACAGCGACAACTTAAAGCTGCAGAGAGGGGGATACCACCACGGGATAAAATGAACACAAATATAAACTGTTCGAAGCAGGTCAATGAGAAAGAGATCTCAGATTACAACAGCAACCAAAAAAGAAGGGCTCGCAAATTGTTAAAGAATAACTACCTACTGTAATTTTCTCCACACTGATCAAAACCTTAAAGGTAACAAGTTGTTTTTATTGCCAATCAACAGTAAGCTTCAATGTAACATTATCACTGTTAAGTTTTAAAAAAGAATAAACGCTTTCAACGTAACACCGTGAGTTGGAAAGCTTGTTCATTACGGTTCGTAGCATTGTTCTCACGTCGGTGAGAATCTTTTCACGAGTCACACTCCATGTCTGTTCTCGCGTTCTTCGGTGCTTAGCGCGCTGTGCGGAGGGTATACAGTAATGAGCGGGTCAAAACGTTAAGAAGAAAAGCTGTGATTTTGTACAAACAAAGTAAGAAGTCATTTCTGGTGTCTTCACTGGAAAATAAACCAAAATGCCTGGCAACAGGTCATTATCAAAACAATAATGAATTGATCAGACAAGGAGACCACAATACAGTTCAGACAAAATTAGGTTACCTTCGAGTTTCTACACACAGAACAAAATCTCAAAATAAGTTGTTTTTATTTTCTTCAAGATAACAATAGCTCGAAACGGAAATGCAGATTGACAATAAAATGTAATCTGACTAATAACAAGTACTCAGTATTTGCCAAACAGAAACGTTAATCTTGTAGGGGGCTATTATTCAATACTGCCAGTATTGAGAAACTCCCTCATGATTCAACCACACAGTAATTTATCTATAAACAATTGAATAGTCTATCAAGTTCCACGCAGATTAGCTAAAAAAAAAAAAAAAAGTTAAACGATAGATGACAAAACTGGCCAGGTAGTCCCTCCCTATTTAACGAAGATCGCCTCTTTTTCAATGATCATTCTGTACAAGTTAACCTCTGCTTCTTCACGCTGTTGAAGTGCCTTTCTGCTTTGCAGCAAAGTCCGCCATCCTGGTTTCAAGCATAGGTCTGAAATGGCGGATGAGTCCCTAAACAAAAAAGAAAATATATTATGAAACATTTGTAAATGAATTATTGACAGTAGCTCCACTTCTAGGCTTTTCCTCTTTTCCCTCTCCTCCCAACTTGACGAGCTCGCGCGGAAACGCTTGCTACGCAGGTTATCTTTTTCCTCCCTGTAACTCCGCCGGTTCGAAATGTACTTGAGTTCCCAAATACCTCCTCAATGTTTATATTCCCATATTTTCTCTACTTGAACACCAAAACACGCTTAATTTCCGAACTTTTTAATTTCGCTGTCTGAAACAACTTTATTGCGCCTTCCTATTTCTTTAGCAACTTATAAGCGCGTTTTCCTGTTTCAGTCTAAATCACCTTACTTTCCCGAAAATTTCCTTTTTTTTTTCTGTTTTTATTAGAGACTTTCAGATTCGACGATTCGCGTATTCTCAAAAAGGTTCATCGTACTTCTTTTCAGCAAAGTTAACGTGGTTATTTGTAGCGAAGCACCATGGGTAAGAAAATTTGGTCATTAATGCATCCAAGAAATTTTGGTTCTGAGAAAATCGTCCGTACGCGTCCGTACGTACGTCCACCCGCTCATGTAAGCGGGGTGAAATTTTGCATTTCAAGTACCCGTGCGTTTCGGCGGTAAATCGCATAGCCACCCGGACTTTTAGAGATAAAAAACAACAACAACAAAGACGATTCTTTCTTTCGACTTAATTTTAATGTCTACATTGACGTGGATAACAGACAAAGAGCTAGAGCCAGAGATAAAAAACAAAGGAGACCAATTTCGTTGGAAGAATAACATGCAAATTTTATAGCGGCGATGAGGAAATGAGAAATGCTAGCGGCCACCAAGGTGAAAATAAGTGGCAGCGAAGAAAAAGAAGTGAACAGGAACGCATACGACATTTCCTACATAAAACGTGTACTAGAAGGTTTCTGGAAATTTCTCGTTGTAGTAGTGCAAAACAACGGCAAAGAAATGTACAAAAAAGTGTGCTGCACGTGCAAAGTTTTTTTTTGCTAATTAGACCTACTGATGTTTTGGGCTGTTTTTGCTGCCGTCGCCGTTTAGAATTACAGGATTTTATATTTTGTTTGAGTAAACTATAGATATTAACGAGAGCTTTGCTTTTAGCCCTGGATAAATCTATTTAGTAAAATCCAACTAGTAGTCTATTATCGATGCTGCGTTCTGAAAGGTTGAGCTACTACTAGGCTACATGTTATAGCCCCTGCCCACTAGTAGCAAAAAGCGCCGGTTTTGAAAACCAAAACAATGACGACTGAATCACGTTTTCCCAGCTGAAGTTGTTTTGTCTCGATATTTTTGACCAACTAGTTGTATTTTACTAAAACAATTATTCCTCTCTCCCTCATGGCCTCTGAGTCTATAGCCCATTTGGCCTTCGGCCTCATGGGCTATAGACTCAGAGCCCATTCGTGATCGAGGAATAATTGTTGAGGTTAAGCCCTCCTCCTGACGGCTTCACGCGTGCGCACTACTATGTATTGAGAAAATCTCGCTCTCGTAGTCGTCCTCGTCTTAGAATCTTAAGGTCTCTCTCTATTCTCAAGAACAATAAAACAGCCCAATGGTTTGTGTATTGGAAATATAGTCTTGTTTTTCGTGTTCTCACCTGCACTGGCCACGCGGCGCCATCTCCCAAAGCACAAATTGTGTGACCTTCTATCTGCTTACTCAGCTCCTGATTTCAACGATGAAAACATGCACTTGTTAGGTCTTCTATCACACATGCACAACTTCCTTTCAACGTTATGAATTCTCTATTTCCGAATCCCTAATAACACACTCTGTTTACTCAATCCAGGGGGCCCCCTCCTGCCCCCTCACTTGTTTCCGATCCCAGTGACTGGGGGATATGGATCTCACTCCCTGGGGAGCAACCAGGACTCCTGTCCAGGATGACTAACCCCGGTACCACTTCGGCTCAACTTCCCAGGAAAGCTTCTCTCCTGGTCCCTTTACACCTAGACAAAAGTGCTCTCCTGCCACCAAAATTTTGCACTTACTTTCTGTTTGGTATAACTGCCTAGAATTGCAATGCGAAACTATCCACCGATCGGAAGGGTTCATTAATTTTGCATTAACTACGGTTTTCAGACTGAATGTTCCCAAGAGCACCTGAGAACAATAACTTATGCCAAAATTTGGAGGGGACGGATGGTGGGGAGGGGGGGAGGGGGAAAACTGGGTATACTATGGGGGATTCGAACATAAGCCAGGCTGACGTTTTCACTTACCCACAACATGTCAATTTCGTCTGGAGTTGCATTTCCTTCAACTAAGAAAGCAAAATAATAACTCATCATAACAAATGCCACGTTACAACATATCTTTTTAAACAAGCATTTCATTTGTAGTAGAGTATCTATTTCGTTTATTTATATTATTATTATTATTATTATTATTATTATTTACACCTTTTACCTGCACGTAAATTTGTATTCATTGTTAGTCTTTTTTCAACTTGTTGTAAAGCGCATTTGATCATGCTCCATGGAAAATTGCAACAAAATTTTTAACTGTAATTGTAATTATAACAACACTGAAGGACCTCAGTTTCAATTTCTCGGTAAAATGACTTAATTTTATTTACTCACCGAATCTGTACATGATGGTGGTCATCCAACTGCAGCCCTCTCTGCACGGTGTGCACTGGTAACCAACAGAGAAACAACACGTCACGTGACTGACTATCTCTGTGACGATTGGCTCTATTGCTTTGGGTTAAGATCACTGAGCGAACGAGCCAGACCCCAACGACGGACAACACTAAATTTGGTTTAATCAACGTAGTTTGCAAAGCTAATTTGTCAACATGAAGAGATTTGACAGCTAACGTTTGTGAACGTAAATAGCCTGATAAAATAGCCGACATTTCGCGATCCCACCAATGGTTTCCGCGCGAAATGACGTCTGAGAAACGAGCGCAAAAATTCGATAGTGATGACGTCTCACTACCAAAATTTGGGTAGTGCTTCTGATTGGTTGAAGCAAATTCCCTTCGCTGCAAGGCCAACCAGGCCAACCACTACTTATTTCTTACTTAGGGGCGTTTAGCGTCATCATTACCCAACGATTTAGCGCGATCCCTGTTCAAGCAAATTGAGATTTTTTATACTTTCCTCATATACGCGCGAGCTATGCCTCCTCGGGATTTAGCCTTCTGGGCGAAATCCCAGCGGGGGCAAGAATTCACTTAATGTAATTAGTTAAAGGACACTACAGTTACCTGCCCACAACTCTCGTGCTTGTAAAACTCGATGAGTCTTGCAATGGCTCGGATAAGATCGCACTAACAGAAAACACATATCAAACTTTTATTAGCAAACTTTTTACTGAACTCTCCGTTCGACATCTGCTGACAGTTTCCAAAGCCTTTGTTTTCAACGAAACAGTTATCTTAGTTGTAAAATCAAAATTCTCCCGCCCAGCTGTTATCACATCTGATCTCCACCAAAAAAATGTTTTGTTAAATTGGCGTTTGTTTGTTTGTTTGTTTGTTTGTTCAGTTTTGTTGTTTCTTTACCCGATTACTAGCCTGCGAGCAACCACTTCATTTCGAGTGGCAAGTGAGGCGAGGCACGAGAGAACGCGCGAGGGTATGCCACGAGCGACGGAGGGGAGAAACTTCGCACCCAAGTTGTTCTAAGAGGGGCGCAAAATCCTCTCGCGTGCCGCTCGCGCGTGACTTAATGGAGACCTTGCTCGCAGACCTACTGGTTTGCCTTTGGCAAGGAAAAGCGTGAGAAAATTGTACCGCTGTTAGTACCTGTTTGTTCATAACTATCACTGCTGCTGTGCCTAAGCCAGTCTGTGCCTCAACAAGGGCATCGAAGTCCATTAACACATCTTCACAGACACTAAAAAATGGACGAAAACGTATAATAATACAGTTGAAGTTGGCCCCTTAAGGGTTTGTCATGCAGAAACATCACTTTATTTTGAAACAAGCACTCAAAGGGAGCGGCATAACTACAAATTACTGGTCCACGATCGGTCGTCACCTTCTATCTCGTACCTTATTTTTCCTTCATCATGTTCTTGAAAGGAAGCTAAACTAAGAGTATCAAGCGCTTGATGGCCCCTTAATAGAGGTCTTGGCGCGTCCCTATTCACGTGCCCATGAGGCTTAAACAAAACCAAAAGCACCCGTGGAATAATAGACTACGAGCACCCTCTCTTTATTCTTAGTCCGTCGAGCAAAACGCGCGAGACACGCAAATGACCACGCGCGTGACTGAAGGCGCGAGACGGGAGAGGTACCGCCCTCGTTTCGCGCGTGCCGCTCCCGCGCGCGTGCACTGCTCTCACCAAATCTGAAGTAAAAGAGAGACTGCTCGCAGTCTAGTGGAATAAAGAAGCCGCGCGCGATAAACCTCACCAGCTACGGGGGCTAAACAAAAAATTTCCCCAAGATCCGGGCGCTTATCGTCTGAGCGACTTATCCTATGGATAATATTTAGACTTGTAGATATCAAATTAAAGAAGCTAAGCTAAAAACACATATGCAATTCAATTACCCTGAAGAGAACAGAAAACAATGGCCTAGTAATACTTACTCTTTAGGAATAAGCGGGGTTGAGGAGCCGCCGGGAATTACTGCCAAAAGGTTATCCCAGCCACCTGTTAAAAATCAACATTTTTTACTAAAAGTGGTTGTGTGAACTTCATACAAAAATATCACCTCATACAATGTAAATATCAGCCGTGTAGTTGTACTGCAGCTTACCAAGAACTCCTCCAGCGTGCTTTTCAATAAGGAGTTTTAAAGGAACAGACATCTCTTCCTCAACAGTACAGGGATGATTGACATGTCCAGATATGTTGAAAAGCTGGCGACAAAAACACAAAAAAGATCTTGTTCAATCAATCACTTGTCTGCACTGTCTTCAAGAGCCCGAGGGCCCGTTTCTCGAAAGTCCCGATAATTAACGGGCGATGTTGCCGTTTACATTAAAGATCGAGGTTTTAATAGTTTTGCATCTAACATGATAAAACCATCAGTTAATGAAACAAAATGGAGTAGTTTAATTATGCTAGGCAAGATCCACGCTCTTATTCTTTATATTTAGATTTGAATATTTGATTTCGCGCCCGAAAAGTTACCGGGACTTTCGAGAAACGGGCCCCGAGGCTGGAAATTTTGTCTGTGCAGGGCTCGAAAGAAGTCCCGTCCGATAGTCCGGGACAAGCAGATTTCTTGCTGGGCAGGTAACTTTTAAAGCTTACTTGCTGATTGGGTTAGGGTCCTGTGAAGTCATCCTCTTAACAAAATCATTAGAGCTTTAGATTCTAAGACGAGTACGACTACGAGTACAAGATTTTTTCAATACCAAGTAGCGCACGCGCGATAACCAACGTCAGTTTGGCGGGAAAATGTGGTAGCCGTCGTCAGTTCTACTACGAGTTTTAGCGAGAATGTCGTAATGGCGAAAGTAAGTTATCAAATGTTTGGAATTTTATCACTTAGCGATCGGAAGAGGGCTTCACCTCCTTCAACGGAAATAAGCGTGCTAACTTTGGTGATGAAAAAAAGTACAAAGAAAGATTTCCGGGGTATATATTTTAAAGAACAGGCGAGAAAACTTAAAATTAAATGGCGTCCTCGTGGTCGTCCTAGCCTCGTCCTCAAAACGAAAACGAGGAAGACGTGGGTCCAGGCAAACAAAATGTGAGAGCTGCTAGTACAAAGGAAAAGCTGAAAGTCGTTTTTTTCAAGCCCTTGAATGGTCTCCGAGCATGAACTTTAGAAATGTGAGCCACAGAAAACACGAACATTTTACAAAACCCTGACTAGTACCTTTCTCATTTCCTCGTCTACTTCAAATAAGTGGTAGCTCTAAGTATGAATTGCGGTCGTTTCGCCTGAAGGAGTTCGCTAGGACTTAAGTCGACTCGCCCAATGACATACAACATTCTACAACATGGTGAACCTACTTCTCCGAGATGCCATTTTAGTTAACCTTGGATTCCACATGTGCAGTCACTGTCTTTCCATGCTTATTCCCTTTTCTCGGGCTTAAAGAACAACAAAAACACATGGGGCGAATCGACCTAGTCCGAGTGGGCGAACTGCCATCGGACGAATCAACCTTCGGGCGAAACGACCCGGTACCCTAAGTATTAGATAGCAATATCTGATCCACTTACTTTTGTTCCTGTGTTTCTTGGTCGACCAAACGAAGAAAACCAATCCCCTCCTCGTCTGCAGATCGCCTGACATGAGCGAAATAGTGAGATGAAAATTAGATAAAATTACTACAGAGAATTGAAGTCATTTATCTATTTTTTTTATTTTAATTATTTACATGTACTGATGTTTTATTTACTTAATTTGTACAAAATTTCACATTCACCACTAGCACATCTCCAATAGTGATCTTAATCAAAACTTGAAAAAACCGTAAGATTGTTCAGAAACATACATTTAAATAAAATAGCTGCCAAACACGATTAGCCAGCTCAGCCTGGCATGGGAAAACGGAAATCTGGAAAGTCGTTCCAGGTAAGAGTTTAACCAATACCCGATGAAAGAGAAAATACAGATCTATAACTATAAACAAAATTATGAGAGAAGAAAATCTTTGGGGAAATTCAGTACATTGATATTGCATCAATTTTGTGGCATTATCATGCAAGTAAGTACAATAATGGCCAGGAGATCTCAAAGAAGTTGTCTAGGTACATCTGAGGATGAATCAAAAACAGGAAAATAATGGACATAAAAATTCTATACAAACCGGAGCCACAGCAACAGTCTCCACATTTGCCACGGTTGTAGGGCATCCAAACACTCCTGTTAAAAAAGGCAGAAATAAAATGCTAATGTCATGAGAACAAGCTTAATCATTCTTGATCTTCCTACTACAATTAAGTCGCTTTTGTAGAACAGTTGTGTGACAAATCACATCCTTCTGCACAGGTCAGGCAACAAGTACAGTATGTAGCTGCAAAAACTTCATAGCGACATAATGCCCCTATGAAACTATTCCACCATTTTGCAGCTGTGACAAATCACTACAAATGTACCTGTGTTCATACTGTAAGTGGCAAAACCCTCATTAATACATAGTCTTACCAACATCTGCAGGAAAAGGTGGCTTCAAGCGAGGCTTGCCTTGCTTTCCCTCCAAACTCTCAATCAGTGCCTACCAAAAAATATAAATTATAACATGTACCAGTATCCAAGACAATGAAAAAGATTTGCTTTGTCGTAGAGCAATTCTCATTTTTCAATGCAACCTTTCTCTATCCAATGAATTAAAATTTCTAAATAAAATCACATCAAAATTTACTGTCGCGCGCAGATTTTTGGTACTGGTAAGTGCATGTACAGTAGTTACAATGACTCAAGTATTCATTAACTAAAACATCAAAGCTTGCTAAGGGACTTGCATTATTTTATTCATTTCCGCAACATTGCACAAGTCATCCACTTTGATAAAATGCACGTTCATAGTCACTACACTATATATGCTGTACCTCGTTTAGCTGGTCACTGAAGTTACTATTTTTAACTCTTTACATCTTAAGTAACTGGCTGTCAAAAGGGATTAAATGACAACATAAACTACAATCTTCCATAATTATCATTTACAAGCTGAAGTATGAGGTACATAAAAGGCTGTATTTTACCGTTTCTTCTCCACAAATGTAAGCCCCAGCACCTCGGTGCATGTAAACATCAAAGTCATATCCACTGCCGCAAGCATTTCGACCAATCAGGCCCTCCTTATAGGCCTCGTTAATGGCCATCTGCATGTTGGATGCTTCGTTATAAAACTCTCCTCGGATATAAATGTATGCTGTAAAATACATGTATATGTGACAGTATCAGAGAGAGTCAAAAAAACTTGGTATTGAATTTTCTAAAACCAACTGTGCAAAATTGCACACAACTTAGGCATCCTACTGAATGAACAGTTGGGGGAGGTCTAACAACATATTTTTCAAAAATCTACTAAAAGCATTTTCAGTCTGTCTTTCTTTCTACAGTATCTCGCTGACCTGTAATTACATGTAATTTCATTTCCATTTTGCATAATGCTTATCTCAACTGGCAATTGGGAACTAACTAGGAGAGAATCCAGGCAACAAGGGCTGACAACTTGACTAACAATAAACAACTTGAATTGATTTGAAAATAAAAGCATTTCAGTTTTTGTCAATGACATGATTGGAAGTTCTAAAAATTACAGAAAAATTATCCAAGAAAAATTTTGAACATGGAAAAAGAAACCCGGGTTAAATTTAACCCTTGTTCTTGTTGAGCCTCTCAACTCCCAGTAAATAAGAGTTTTTAAAATTAACAGTTCTATTGATACTTACCAGCCCTTGCACCCATTCCAGCTCCAGCCACTAAGCAGCCTTCTATCAGTTTATGTGGATCATGTCTCATTATCTCTCTGTCCTTGCAAGTCCCTGGTTCTCCCTCATCTGCATTTACCACAAGATACTTTGGCCTGAGGGCAAAAAGAAGTAGATTTTCTCATGAAACAGTTTACAAATTGAATTGAAGTATATGAAATGAATCATACTGTCTTGAAATGTGTGACCTCTCACGCGAAAACGTGCACTAACGGTTTTGTGTTAAACGGGCAAAAACCAACGGAAAGAAAAAAAAGGGTATCAACGCTTTCAACGGGTGCACAGAAACTTTCAGAGGCTTGTAACTTTTTCCAAATGGTTTGGATAAAGATTTGAAAGTGAAAACGCTTTCAATGGGTTGCCATGACCATTTTTTCAATGATCATTTTCATTTTCCAACATTTTTCAACACTTTCAATGCTTTACAATGCTCTTGTATAATAAATTGTGGATAAAGATATGAAAGTGAGCATGACCATATGATCATTTCATATATTTCAGAATTTTTCTGCGAGGTATGGTGAATTCATGATGGCTTGTTCTCCAGTTGGCTTGATAAGGTCAATGAATAGAGTATTATGTCCAGTCATCACAAAGTTCAGGGTTCAATTCCTGGTCAAGCCTGGATTTTCAAAATCTCAACTACAATTATATGTATATGACTGAACGTGTACGTACAGTGTACAAATTGATTTGGTTTACGAGAACTAAGCTCTTAGCTATCAGCAACAGCCGCATAAACATGAGGCTAAACTGTATTCTAATACACACCCCTCACAAGCCCAAATTAAAAACATTATTTTCCTTTCCAGGAAACTTCATGATTTAACGTGAGATTCAAATTTGGCTGCTTGGATCACTTGGACTTGCTACATCACTTTAATTTATCAACAGAAAAGAACAAAGTGTTAGACAAGTTGTACCTTCCATCTGATGGCTTGTTCATGAAACCCCATTTCATTCCGGTAGGGAAACCTGACAAAAAATTGAGGAGTTAAATAAGCCTTCTTAAACCAATTCTTTCAGAGAGAAATAAAACTTTACAAGTGAGTAATGAAGATTTGACAAGACGGATTCCATCTTGGAACTTAGATGATACTGGAAATAACATTTTACCCAATGAAGTCTAAAAATACCATCTTGGTACATAATATGTACTTAATTTCACAGGTCTTTAATTTTACATTTTTCACGATTGGAAAATCACAAAATTAAAGACCTGCAAACAAAACTCCCCACAAAATTTAGAAAATTCAAATCACAGTTGAGAATGCTTGAATCGCAAAATTTTACGCTCTTTGTCATATTTGCCCCTTGAAATCATGAAAATACATGTAAAACCATGTGAACTGTATCTGCGAAATTACAAATTTAAAATGTACTTTATTACAGACCTGCTCCACCTCGTCCACGCAAGCCAGATTTTGTGATTTCTTTGATAATCCAGTCTTGTCCTTTCAGTATTATCTCCTTGGTTTTGTACCAATCACCCTATTATCAAATTACAACAAAGTACAGAACAGTTGTAGTGAACAAAATAGAAGACACCATGGGCATGTGGCTCAAACAGCCAGACCTTAACCCAGTTTCTGTAGGATGAACTGCTTGTTGCACCTACTCCTTCCATAGAAAGTCAATAAATTACACGAGTATGCGGGACTCATTCAAGAATACATGTAACATTAAATTACAAAAACTTTACCCTTTCTATTGCTCCCTTTAACTTCCAATCATGTCGACCATACAAGTTGGTAAAGATACGGTCCTCGTCCTACCAAAAAAGATTCAATTTTTATCTTTGAGTGCTTTTGTAACTTGCAAGTCATGATTTCACAATGATCTTTCCGCGTTCCAATAATATCAATTTACAACAAGCAAGCTACATGTATTAAAGATACTTGTGTGATTATGCACATAATTATTTACCAACCTTCATATTGCCAAAAGATGTCTTGGCCTGCAAAGTCATCAAAAGACACTGATAAGATTTTACTTAACCCTTTCAGCCCCGATATCTAGTTACAAATTCTCCAAACTGATAATTTCCTTAAAGTAAAAACAAAGATTTTTCTTTAAGATCATTTTATCAGGACAGTATGGATGTTGTTAGGAGAAAATTGATTTTGGACACTATTGGGACATAAAGGGCTAATTAATAGTAAAAACAGTTTGCTTTGACAGACAACAAGACAGGACAGTATATGCATGTAACTGCAATAAAATGGGTGTGCAGGATTAGACCCAAGAAGACCCTGGCCTAGAATAAAATTATCAAACCATTGTTTAACAAGCTTTGCAAGGCAACTTGGAAGGAACATTTCTCAGTTTATTGGGAGCTCCTTTGGGCTTAGTATTCCAGGCAGTCTTTCAATACAAGTTTTCAAAACAAAACCACAGGAGCAAAAGAAAGTCTCTTTCATTTATTTTCGTAGATCTTTCGCAGAGTGGAAGCAAAATAATCTTTGACCTTTTCAGGCATTGTGGTAAATGCTGACACCAATTCAAAATATACTCCAATTCTACAGCTAACAAGACAGTAGCCAACTTGAAAGCTGCCGCTCTCTTTGCCACTATGCACATACCTCCTTAGATTGTCTTTTCTTTTATCTATCTTTGTACCAAATTCTTTTAAATACTGTATGTTTTCAAACAATTCTTAATACTTAAACCCTGTAAGCAATGTAAAAATAAAGTTTAAGAGGCCGAAGTTAAACTGCAATGCTGGCATCTTCTTTGCCAGGGCACACAGGTTGTTTCTTCCCTCAAGTAACCACCATGTTAAATTCTACATAACTCAGCACTTGAATTGGAGTAAGGAAACAGAAGGGACAGGGCAGATAGAAAATAATTTTCCTCCCTTCTCTTGTCTTCTCCAACCTCATTTTTACACCCTAATGCCCATGATCCAAACTGCCACATTTTCTTCTCGTCCAAATTGGCGACAAATCAAACAGCTAGTGATTTCTTTTGGTTCTATTTTTCTTCTATTTGTATTTTGAAAGTAGCCAAGGATCAAGTTCGTAGTAGCCAGAGAGAAATACCTAGCCCCCTTGGCCTTTAATCATTGCCCTGGAGCACACAAACACAAAGCCTTTGAACACCAGAAAAATACACCCGCATGCATGGTCTGTGGGCCAGCATTGCACTGAACCTACAATCTTGGACAAAATAAATGGAAAACCTAGACCCCCCCTCCCCCCCAAATCAAGGATGGGAAAATGGCGCGTTTTTCGCGCGCCTTCATCCTTGATTTGGGGGGATGGGGGTTTGCTGTTCCATTTTATTTTGTCCAAGATTGTAGCATCTTTAACGGTGATTGCTCGGGTTGGATAAACTACAATAATATTCCATCAAAAGGTCAATTTTGAGATCTCACCCAGTTCTGAACATACTGACTACCACATTAACAAAAATAAAACTAACCGGTGGTGAAGATGCTGTAGCTGTTGATGACAGCCTAGTGCAAGCAACAGCACGGCACAGAGACTGAATCTGTCCTCCTTAGATGAATGAGAAAATGTGTTTAAAAATCAAATTATTGATAAATAAAGAGATCCACAGAGGCAAAGAATCAATAGGTCTAAGGAATGGCAGGTAGAATCTGTAAATCACTCCGACAATGTCTATATTCTGTGCGTATCTGGTCACTTTGTTCCATAGTCAGATTGTTCCAATTCAGATCGTTCCACTTAATAGTCAGATCGTCCCACAATAATATACTGTGGTCAGAATTTTTCACGAGTCTTTAAGCCACGAGCAGAAACAGACGCATTACTCATGTTTATACATTGTACCTCATTCTTTAAGCCAAGAAGCCAAAACAAACGCCCTTCATGTTCTTCCAGATTTAAACTGACAATCTGACAACAAGATGGAATGATCTGGCTTCGAACGATCTGACCGTGGAACGAAGCGACCGCAACTTCCAAAGAGAAAAACATTTTCATCAAAATATAATGTGCCTTTTAACTTTACTTCTTCGATTCTCGTTATATTTTTATTTTTATTTATTTATTTATTTCTATTTTTACATCGGTCAATAAACATAACAAGTTCAGCTTTCTACTGTCTATTTACGGCTGCAAATAAATTCACTATGCATAATACTAACACAAAAATAGAAGATCGCTGAACGCATGGATAGTATAAAGCTTACATAACTGCAGGGAGTTTCAGCAAGGAACTTCGATCTACTAGAGATCTGACATGACACTACAAGTTGTAAAAAGTATATGGTAAAAAAGCAATGTAACTTACTCTGTAATCCATTTAACTGCAGCCTCATCAAAGGCTTTGCCATGATTGATCTAAAACACTCAGGAAGTTGGCTTGATCAACTGTTTCACGGTCGAAATTCAGTCACCGTTGCATAACAAGACTAAATCCAATATGGAGGCAAAGAACAACAATGCCGAGTTGGATCACGGGACTGTCTATTAATTTTATGCTTCTCTTACATACCGTATTTCTCGACTACGCAGATACCGCATAGAACAAGAGCCCACGAACAATGGTCTGTGTAGATGTCAAAAACTTCTAAAATTACCTGGAATTAGAGCTAATCTGCATCACCGCGAGCAGGATTCTCAAAATGATGGACTATAATGGTGGAGCTCTTTCAGGGGAAGAGTACATTTTTCAGTCTAGAGGTATGATTATAAAATTATATGCGTTATCCGGGCGTTATTGACCGAGCGGTCAAAATGGTCGGATATTGGCGAAGATTTTTATTGACAGAGACGAAGTTGAGGTCAATAAAAACGCTAAAACGAACAAGGCCAGTAGTCGGCCATCTTCACGGAATAATCTTGGTCTATAAAGGATTTATTAGATGGTCAAAACGGAGAATTTTTTTCTTGAGGGACAAACACGGGAAATCCCGAGCGCATCTTGCCTGCTCGGGTAGCCAATCAGAAAGCAGGATTCGTTTCCTCTTGCCCGCTCTCGGACTCTACCGTACAATTAAAAAGGGTACGGCTTTTTTTAAGAACAATCTACCAATGTTTATGACACCCAGACAGTTTGCCAACAATTGACCACTCTAGAAAATACCATAACATACGATAATACTCTTTGTTTGTCACCCCAAAATTTTGTAAAAGCATTGTCTTCAGTCTCGCCTGGGAGTTTAAATGGCCCCAAGAGAAACTGAAAACTAAATGCTCCTTCAAAATTTTGGGGTGACCAACAAAGAGCATTATGGTTTGTTTGTTTGTAATATTTATTTGTTTACCCACGGAGCACTAAGGAGTTCATAAGAACGTGTCCGTACATTCCAGATTGAATTGGAATTTGAAAGTGTTGGTTTTTAAGGAGAGAGGAAAACTGTAGTACCCGGCGAAAAACCTCTCGGAGCAAGGGAGAGAACCAACAACAAACTCAACCCACTGCATATGACGTTGACGCCAGGATTCAAACCGGGGCCACATTGGTGGGAGGGGAGTGCTCTCACCACTGCGCTACCCTTGCTCCCCTGACCCTATGGTATGCAATGGTATTTTCTGGAGTGGTCAATAATCTCAGGCAAGCTGCAGTGCATCAATTATTGATGCACTGCAGCTTGCCTGAGATCAGGCTGCATTTTAGTATAGTCTTCTCCACAAGTGGAAGGAGATGTTTGCTTGTGGAATCCAGGATCCAGGAAATTTTGTCATGTGGAATCTGGAACTCTGGGCTTTGGACTCCAGAACCCCACTATAATAATTGGGATCTGGAATCTAATATCCACTTTCTGGAATCCAGTACACGGAATCCAGAGTCCACATCGTGGACTCCAGAATTCACTTACACGAGGCATTATGGGTATTCACATCCATTTTTGAAACTAACTACACCTTTAATTAGTAGTGTCTTTTTTTTTCCAAAAGTAACCATAAAATAACGCTTTTTTCACAATCTATATTAACATTCTATGGTTGAAATTAACTGAAATTATATCACAAAAAAGAATGAACACAGGTGTTTAGAACTCAGTGTTAATAGCCTGCATGACAGCCGTCGAAAGAGGAGTGGGATGGAGAGAAAATGGGGCAGGGAATTCCTTTTAGTGTTTTTCTCCCCCCCCCCCCCCCCATCCCCTTTTCTGCGGCTGCCTGGGGGTAGGGGGTAGGCTGTTATAGAGAGGCGAAAAGAGTTTATTTTCCTATACAAGGGATATCTGGCTGGTAGATCTGTACATCCTGTACATGTCTTTAGATGCAGCATTCTCTTTCACAGTTTTTTCGAAGGCTGGTCTACTGAGAAATATTTGACTTGTGGAACGTTTGATCACTGGCTGCTTGTTATTTATGGCTATTCTGTTCTCCTTTGTGCTTCTAAACTCGTCTCCAGACCTCGGTCTTCCACCCTTATACATAACAGGCATACTACTGTGACGTGTAAGCGATCCGAACGCTGGAAGTGAAGCGGAAAACGACGATTGGCGTGCGTGATCGTCGACGCCTTCAGAACGCCGACAACCGTACACTGCAAACGTCTTTGTCCTGGAAGTGTTCCGCTGGAAGGCATCGCTAGGCATTTCATTTATTACCGGCATGCTCCCGAAACGGCTAACAGCGCCTTCAGAAAGAGTATGCGAGCGACGCCAGGAGAACGTTGCGCTTGATAATCGTTCAGTGTCAGTGCCAGCCAGGCTACGTGCGCGAGCTCTGAAAACATTCCCCGACCTTCTTTCGCTATTTTCCTTGCCCTCACTCTCACTTGGTTTGATCAAATGACCAAGATAACTGTTGGAACGTCTGGCAGTAGCAAAAAAGGAACTACTTCGAGGATTGACTGCGGGTGGAAAAGTCTTTAGTAACTGAGATACACTTTCTTCGTTCTTTTCCTCTTCTTCACTTTCTTCTTCGTCACTTAATATACCAGAGTCTTGTTTCGCGTGATTTATTCTAAGCTCTTCTCGATGGTTTTTGTTTTTAATGGTTTCCACTACTCTCACATATCCTGGAGCCGGTGCAAGATCTCTTTCTCTTTCGTCCAGCTGTGTTTCCATTTCCCATCTTTCTTTCGTCTCTATTTCCCATCTTTCTCTTTCATTCTTAAGTTCGTCTTTCAGATCGCAGATGCTTGAACGCATTGCAAGCAACTGCTTGTGCATGTTTTTGTCTTGAAGCTGTATGGCTGCCTGAGGAATTCAAACAAATCAAAACGATATGTCCATCAGTTTGACAAGGTTTAAAATGTAAAGGCGAAAGTAGTACAAATACAAAAAAGACCTCCTTCATCCCAGGTTTCGTAATATAGCACAAAGAAGAGGCTTCGCAGAGAATCATGGGACAAATCGTACAGCTTATCTTCCCCAAAATACCCCACGCAATTCGCCACTTTAGAAGCGAGAGGGAATCTGGAACCGAAATGCGTCCCGCAATTGTTTCTGGATCGTTACTGGGGACGCGTCGATCAGGTTATAGGGACTGTAAGATCCAACGACGCGACAGCAACGAGGACGTCTAAAAAACAATAGGTTTAATATCCAAAACAACAACTTTGCACGTGCCTCACACTTTTCTGTACATTTCCTTGCCGTTTTTGCACGACTAGGACGTGAAAACACCTAATTTCGTATTTTATGGAGAACTAGAACGTAAACAAGCAACGACGAAATTTCATTTCTCTTTCTAAACTTGGATATGATCCCTTGGAATTCAACTTCCGGAGGGTTCGCCTACATTTGACAAAGGAAGTGAGTAGGAATAACAGCGATAATGACTGAAAGAACGCAAATTCATTTTTTTAAGCGACGTTCTTGTTGCTGTCGCTTCGTTGGATCTTAAAGTTCCTATCAGCCATTTTTTTTCCCTGTCCATGGAAACAGCTGCAGAAGTCTTTGCGAAATTTAGCTCGGCCCAGTCCCCTTTCCTTTTCGAAAGTGGCGAATTCGAGGACAAAACAGTATGGACTTGAAACGAGGCAACAGAGTTAGAATTGGATCATGTGACACCAAGCCACAGTTGAACCTCCAACAAGCGACCTCCCTGTGGGTACCTACAAGTGGCCGCTCAATTGAAGTTGGTCATGAATTAGCATAATCTTTAGCAGAAACATCACTTTATTTTGAAACCAACACGCGACGGGAGCAACATTGCTGATCCACAATCGGTCGTCATTTTCCTTTATCATATTCTTTATATAAAGCCAAACTAAGTGTATCAGTCGCTTGATGACCGCTTAACATAGGTGACAACAATGGGAGAACTCTCGTTGGGACGGCCAAGGGGTAGCCGGGCGCGGCCGCTTTGTTTGAGGTTTAATTTTCCATCACAGACTGTTGGTTACTGGCCTCTTAATAGAGGGTGGTCGCTTAATAGGTGGCCGCCCTATGGAGGTTTAACTGTCTACTTTAGACCTCTAGAGCATAAAACGCCAAAATGGTATAGTCCAGAAAAAAATAAGCGATAAATACTTATTTTGATGAATAAAGAAAGTTAACATGATATGTGACATGTCAGGATATCAGTCGTTTCCGCTCCTGGCATAGCAGATATCAACGCACTTTTTGGGCAAGGAGAATGTTAGGTAGTCCTTTCGGGGAAACTAAAATTGTCCACCCACAACATTTTCATAAAATGCATGCACGAAATAGCACTTCTGTGATAGAACGTTTTATATTAGTGCTGTATATAGTTATTTTTGTAGCATTAAAGTGTCCACGTTACCGTTAAATTGGGCAAAGTGAAAACTATCATTGTCTATAAAATTAACTAAAAAGGGCTTGTATATTTGTTTCCGATATTCCGTGACCTAATGCAAAAAAGTTTTAATATCGAAACCAATTCAATTATGTCTTGTGCGACTGTAATAGGCCACAATGACTTACGGGGTTTGCCTGAGGCATCTGGCTGTCTGGAATATTATCAGAAGTCAATACTAGTGTAGAACTGCTGCTAAGTAAACTATTTTTCATTTGCTCAGTGATATTACGAGTAAAATACACCATCAATTTTAAATAAAATAAAATAATGACAGATGTTTTATTCAAACAACCCCTTCAATCAAGTTAATATCCATAATTTAAGTGGGCATTGATCATCAAAATTGGCCTCTTTAGCTTGTATGTTTTGTTTTTCCAATGCGGGTCATGTGATAATACTGTAGAGAATTGTTTCTTTCAAATTTCGTCTTATTCATGTGCATATGTACGCATAATTTATGAAAAAAAGGGTGAAGTTCCCCTGGGACCTCTAACAGTCACGTAAAATTTACGCAGCTTGATGGCAAATGATTTATTCCAGTGAAAGTTTTAGATGATTTCTATGTGGCAATTTGTAACTCAGGTCGAGCAATATACGCAGATTACAAATAAACGACTTTTCTTGGGTATTAAAATCCGCTGCCCAGATTTCCCTCCCACCGGGGTCTTTAACGAGTCCTTAACTTTTTTTGTGTTTTTGATATCGTGCGAGTTTTCGTTTTACTCACGAAATATCAAGAATATTTTTACCTGTCACGGCTCGAATTTCATATATCATTTGCAGTGTGTCAGAGTGTCTTAAAGCGTTTTTCAAGCTTTCAAGAAGATTCAGTTATTAAAATTTGTCATGATACGCAAACGAAATGATTATTTGCGATCGTACATGATAATGCGGTCTGATTTATAGCGAGGATATTTCTAATTGCTATTTTACGCTCTGTTGGAGGTTAATTTTAGAAATTTTATGATAGCATTGAAAATCACTGTTGTAGAATCAATATAGCAGAAAAAAATTCGACCCAAATTGAAAAGACTTAGAACCATGACTCACAGTCAGCAAAATGTCAATATGTTGAGTTATGTCTCAACTCATAAACATACTTTCTGCTCTGGTCGATAAACACGAATAATAAACTATTTAAGGCGAACATAATAGCCCCACAACCTTTTGATATACCATTATTCGGATGAGCGCGCGAACACAAGCAAAGTAATAAACTGTTAGTAAAGCTGACATTATTCGTAATTTTGGAGACTTAAAACGTCATGCCTCTAAGTCATATTGACGTCAGGCAATTCTTTTTCGTGCTTTTTGCAAGTCGAATTAATCTCCTTTCTGCCGGTTCTTGGATGATTACGCAAGACGAAAAGAATTAGCCTCTTGACTAAATTTGCAAAGAACCTTCTGCTATGCTGGCAAGGTAGCTACGTGCACTTTATATGCACGAAAAGTATATAATAAATTGTTAGCGACCACAATGTCAATACCGGTATACCAGAGAAACTCCCAATTTCATGTCTCGGAAATTTCTGCCAAAAAGATATATTACTTGACGGAAAAAAATAAAGAAATTTAGGTGAAAAGTGCAAGAAAATTAAATGTGAGTTAATGCTAAAAAAAAAGTACTTGACTTGCAGTTAATACTTTTAAGCAATTTATAGACCTCATGCAGTACGATCGTTTTAGATTTGTGTGGGATGTCGGTGGTTGATTTTTCCCTCCAGCTGAGAGAACCAACTGTTCGATTGTAACTTATTGCGCAACTATTTATTCTGAATTGTCTTGAAATTCTTATGTAAAATCTATGCTAGGTACTTTTCAAAACAAACCCAACATGTATTATATGTAGGTTCTCAAGACAGTCGCTCGTCTCGCTGGGAAATGACAAATTGCACGCAATTGCGCCGGAGGTTTGAAAATCTATGTTTTCAAGAACCCCTCTTCAAACGTCTGCAAAAACAATTTAATAGTCAATGAAGCAAGGTGTATATAAAAACGAGCTAATATTTAGACTTAAAACCTGTCAAGAACGCTCTGCATAAATACCAGAACATTGCTCAAGATAATATCTTGAATCGTCACCTTTCTTGAAAGTTGGTACTATAACAGCGCATTATTTATTGTACAACCCAAGCATATATGGCTAATTGTTAATTATAATGAAAATACGCTTCCCAAGTTGGGTACGTGTTTACGCTACACTTGTTTTTATACACCAGTTCAAAACACTAACGTACTTTTGTATAACATAGTAGTTCTGGGTTCATTTTTGATAGATTAAAACACATTTATATCGTGGACCAAGGTTAAAAATGACACTAACCCTGGCGGAAAACAACTAGTTTATTAACCATGAATGCAAACCGAGTATAAGATTTGGTAGGGGAGACGAAAACATTGCGAGTTGTTGAAAGAACGACGGACGAAAATAAAGCTCTTAGAAAAGTTCAAAAAATCGATTTTTCATATTTAAAAACAGAAATCTTAAAAACGTATGTTTGGTATTAAGAGACTATACGTTCCGTTATCAGTGGTCATTAACAGTGTTAGACGGTACTTTTGCCAATATGACTATCCTTATTTAAGGCAAAATTGAAATTAGGCATTCGCTAACTATAGATCAGCTTATGACTGTACTGTAAGCCTTACCGCGAACTCAATTTCTTTTATTTAAACTGATCAGACGCTTTTTCCTAGTTCCGTCGAATGAAGCTCGTTGGAATCGATAACTTAAACGGCTCGCTCAGAAATAATTGTAATCAGCTGAAGTGTTAACTTAGATGAATATTTTCCTTCTTCACGATGGGCAAAGCAACTAGCCTAGGAATTCAAATAAACTCACCAGCTCTTTGCGAAGCCAGGCCAAAGCAGTGCCCATGTCGAGATTCCCATTTTTCCGACTCTTCGCGTTGAAATCCGGAACTTTAGGACCGGCGGCGGAGGGCCATAATGGTGTCTGGTTCGGGACATCCATCATTCTCGCGCGCGGCCGCTAAATAACTCAGCGAATTGAACTTTCAACGTTTTTTCCACAATCTATCAAACGTCACTGTCGATGATATGTATATTGCTGCTTCGTGATACCACCAGAAGAGTGAAATAAATCAATATAGTTCTAATATCAAGCCCTAGCAATTTTCCGTATCCGACATGAATTTCGCCGGTTGCACCGGTAAAAACAGTCTGTGAATAATTATTTTTCTCGTCCCAGCAATCTTTTGTTTACGAAGTTTCTTGTTTTCACAACGATTTAATTGACCATCTTTGTTTTCTGTTGAATCAAGAGCGCCATAACAGTCGAGCTTTTAGTCCAGGCCATCCAATTAGCTAAAGACTTCCACAAAAAGCAGTTTTCATTACAATCCAGTTTTCTTGTCTATTTGGAGTCAGGTGTTTTTGTCATTCTCCAACCACCAGAGAAACAAAAAATTTGCATATTATATTTCGATCACGACCGCTTAATTTTAATTTTCACTTGCTGTACTTTAGTTAACTAAAATGTCCATCTAATCGATGGACCCTGAAATTGTGTTGACATATGCTATGATTTCGTAAGTGGAGAGACTTGAATACACTTTCATCGTTAAAAGTAATTTGCGGTTCAATATTGACCAAAATGAGTCGAAGGAGATCTTTATTTGGCATTTTTGTCTTTCCAACTGGACTTCAATAAAAAAAAAAAAAAGATGGGCTTTTTTGTATTTTACTTTTTGTGACGTCAATGGCGGAAAATTAAAAGCTCATAAAAAACGAAACTAGCATGGTTTTCAAAAACACCTTTTTTCTGCCTCACAAGTTTGCTTTCGTGCAACTTACGTATAAGCTTTTCCATTGGCATAGCTGATGAAGACAGCCAATTTGTTATAATGTTTACCTTACCTTCGGTATGAAGGCGTCCTCTATTAATTAAAGCATTATTGCATATTTGTGTCATTGAAAATAGTAGAAATGTTTGAATAACAAATTCCAGTAATCTTGTTTTTAATCTCGAAAGTTTTAGCGCGCGGCACCGGTGATGAAAAGTTCGTGAAACGAAAATCCGCCTCAGACCATTACAAAAGAATAAGGAACGGAAATGAATACTTAACTCTTAATGACTACACAATGAATCTCTCTAAATAACTATAAACAGAACATATTATGTTGTGGGAAAAGTTATTAATACAAAAGATTAACTCTTTTCTAATCCTTCTGTTATCCTAAACGTTTGAAGGACTAACTCAGTTTAGCTGTAATATTTAAAGGCACCAGCTTCCAGGCCGCAGCTAGCTGAGCATGAGGTGATGCCGTGCACGGCCAGTCAAACGTCTGTGGCGTTTTCTTGTTATTTGCTTGTGAGATTTTATCTACCACGAAGTGGAAGAAAGGAAATGTCTTAAATACTAAGTGATTGTGGCTATTTCTTCAGTTTTCTCAATGTTTGTAGCTCATTCTTGTCGCTGAAACTGTTTCGCGCGTAATCAAAGTTTTGCTAACTAGGCATCGACCAAAATCTGCAATTTTAGTTTTTCAACGCTAATAATTTTGGTAAACTAATCAAACGTTTAGTAAATCAGCAATCCACCAATTTTCAAACGGTGAATATTGCCACCTTAGCTTTAAATACTTTTGCTTAGCTTTCGCAAATTTCTCTCGCTTGGCCTCTATTATGAAGCGCTCTTTTGCTTCCTCAAGCCTTGTCGTATTGCACAACCAGAGACCCCACTTTTTAAAGCTACTCATTCGAGAGACGTGCAGCTGCATAACCACCCTGGCCTCGTTTGTTCGTACTGAGAGTCTAGCTACACGACGCTTGGAAGCAGATAAAAAATGCCTGCGTTCCGTCAACATGGACTTGATGTCCGTTCCAACCTGCTGCACCGGTCTTTTTTTTTTCATCAGCTGTTCCGCAGTGATAAGTCGTATAAAGTACTGTTATGGGTCAGTGATAGTCTCCTTTGGTATGTTCACACTTGGTGCTGGGGTGACTGTGCCTGAGTTCGGTTCCCGCTGGGTGCTAATGTGGACACACCGTCTTTTCAATTACCTACGCCAGCTTTCGGGTACAGGTGCGGTACCCGAGTATACTGACGTATAACCTTGTACTTGGGTACTAAAGAGAGCACCGGACACCTGTATTCACACCGTTTTCCAACGCCGATCCACTGCTTTGGAAGCCAATAACTACCGCTACGCTATGCCCACGTTTCAAAATGGAGTCTTACAGGCGAAATATAGAAGAGCAAACACAGCTGTCTATCAGGCCGTCTACTGTGTAAACGCAGTTCAACCTTAGTGTGCCAGTAACCCAGGACTAGTGTTCACCTCGGCACGAAGTGTAAACATAGGCATAATATTAAAGCTACTTTTCGTACTTTGTAAAAGTCAATACTCGGGTGTCAAAACGCGTTTTTGGGTGCGTTCACAAACGCCAACGTGCGTGCAATCTGAATATGGCAAGTTTAATTATCTTCTTGATAGGGGGTATGGTAAAAAATATGCGGTTTCAAAATAACCGGATTCGAATAGACTGTGCCTAGAATACCTAAAGCAACGGCAGCGCAAAAAACGTCTACTAACTTAGACATCCTTTATAATTTAATTTTTTGTAAGTCTAGAGAAAACACCAAGTTCAAGTTCGTTCACGGGCTTTACAATTCATGTTTTAATTTTTGTGTTATCAAACTAAATCATTTAATCGTGAATTAATACCCCTTGCGGAAATTGCTGACAAATTAATCTAGGCCAAAGATACAGCTTATTCAAGGTATTTTTATGCTGGCTGTTTGATCAAAGATCCAGTAATCCGCCCAGACAGTTAAAGTTTACACTCCATGTTGGTAGTCAAATACCCGAAGAATAAGAGCACTTTTCTTAACTGTCTCAGGGTTAAAACTGATGGCTTTTTTACTTTCTTGAGACGTCATAAAGGCAACACGTCTAATGATCCAATCAAAAACGTTGCACGTGCGTCATACTTTTTTTATATACATTTCTTCGCCGTCACTACAGGACTACAAATTGACGTATTATAGAGGAAACAACCAATCGCTAGCCTGCGTCGCCGACAGTCTAATTCACCTAGATAGACAACGAACTAGATCAAGGTCAGTTTGACCGCGGCAGGATTAGCTCAGTCGGTAGATCGCTCTACTACAGAGAAGGAGGTCGCCGGTTCGATTCCCTGCGCCGGACCAATACTCAGGGTCTTAAAATAACTATAAAGTGAGCGGGGTACTGCCTTTGCCCTGCAAGCGGCAAGAGACCTTCGCTTGACTCGGATGATTGCGTAAAATGGCGGTTCCGTCTCCAGCAGGAGACGTAAAAATAGTACTTTCGTGCTAAATACATGGACACTCAAATAAAGTGCATTTTGGGGGGGTCTCTCGAGTTCTCGAGTGACAAGTCCGGCTGTAACGCAGGCTAACAATCGACGACATTTTGTTCTTTACATTTTTAAACTCTGATATGCTCCCTAAAAATTCAGTTCCGGGAAAACTCGCCTAACCACCATAAATTTTAAAAGAACGCGAACACACTTTATAAATGACGTGCCCCGTTACGGTCGCTGTCCTGGTTGCTTCCCTACTAACTACTCGTCCGCGAAGCCCTAAAGCCCCGCGCAAACGGTCGCAACATTGTTGGATGTTACATGCTGCGTCCGTTTTTACAACCTGTTGCATGTTGTTGCGTGTTGTTGGGAGTTGTTACGCAAAGTTTGAAACCGGGCAAACTTTTGAGCCAAGAACTCGATACATTTCTTTTGTTCCATGATCGCCGAAGCGTAGAGCAACAATGTTGGATCCGTTTCCACAGCTTTTCCAACATTTTTGGGGCCAGGTACGATCATTACACACGATCTCCTTATAGACAGCAACACAATAACTTCGCGTGATAGACCAACACGTTGATAGGCCAACATTGCTGGGAATTGTTGCATCCGTTTGCACACCACCGCCAACACGGACGCAACAACTCCCAACATTGTTGGCCCAACAGCAGGTCCAAATAGGCCGTGATAAAGTTTGAGAGGATGCAAATTCATATATTTTTTAGCGACATTATCACTGCCCCCGTCGTCGTGGCTTAAGCTCCGTACTATCTCCTACATCTCCGAGGATGAGAAATTAAAAAGAAAACAGAAAAACCAAGAACAGGAACACCTGATACAACTAGTTACTACAATTTATTCTGCCTTTCATCAGACCACAACTCATTTACACCATTTCACCAGGCCAGTTTTGTACTTAGCTCTAAGGCTAACGATGACAAAAAAAATAAATAAAAACACAACAATTGCTTCATCTTACCCGCTCAAAGAGCCCGCCATCTAACCCTTTAAGCCCTACGATTGATCAGCGTCAAATTTCTCCTTGTAATATCAATGCTTTGTTAAACAGAGTGGTCATGAGAATTACGGCCATGATCACACAAGATGAATTTTATCAACTTCTCCTCCCTACTTCTGTAGGAAATGAATATGGGTAACAAATGAGAATTCAAATTGTGATCTTAGGGTTTAAAGGGTTAATGACTATAATGACTACAAATTTTCTAGGTTATCATGTCTTTTGGGAGACTTTGTAGTTTAATCACCCCATGTCACATTGTGTGCACATCATATTGTTTGTGCCCCTTGAAAGTTTAGATAATATGCAGCTTTTTCCTCATACTGCTTCTTATGTTGATAGGGAGAACTTCCCACCGTCCATCTGCTTAACATATTGCACACGTGATGGATGGTCATCAGAGGGCCTGTTGTGAGGCGTCCACACTGGTTCACCAACAAACAGCCTCATGGCTTTGATGTAATTCTACATTGAAAAAAAAAGAAATCAAGGAATAACCATCAAATATGTTTGCTGAATACGGATACCAAAGAGAAAAAGCCAAGTTTTCATGTTTCAGAAATGTCCCCCATCTAAGGAATCCAGATTCCAGAATCTGGGAAATTTTTGGTAGTGGAATCTGGAATCCGGGATATTTTTGCCTATGGAATCTGGAATCCTTGGCTTTGGAATCCGAAATACAGCCCAAGGAATGAAGAATCCAAGTACAGCTGACAAAGACTGGAATCAAGTACCTGGATTCCGGAATTCAAGGCATAGAATCCAGAATCCAAGACTGTCTTGGAATCCCTTTCAAGGGGCAAGAAGTGTCTGTGTTATAGAAGTGGAAATTATTCTGTAAGTTTGGTTCTATGAGACATGCACTTTTATCTTTGGTTCATAGTCTTTCTTCCTTTGTCTTTGATTCAGGCAAGGAAATGACATGTGATAATACTTAGGCCCTGTTTATATAGGGAAAAGTTGTCCCAGGTAGAATAGTCACCTGCCTAGCCAAGCTACCCCTGGGCAAACCAACTTTGCATACATTTCCTTACAAAATATGGTGAACCATTTACATGACGTAGGCTCAGCTAGATGGGTGACCTGCCTAGCTGATGGTAGGGTCACCCTCTTAGCCTGGCCAATTTTTCTCCATATAAACACTTCGGCTTGCCCAGCTGAGTCAACTCAGCCAAGGCAAGACAATCAGAGCATGCACAAGTGCTGTTGGCTCGGACAATGGGGTTAACTTTTTCCTCATTAAAAACTTGCTATTAAGGTGACTTAGCTGGGAGGTTGACCCTTCTACCAAGACAGGTTTGACTGTATTCAAGGAAACACAGAAAAAAAAAAACAAAAGGATAACACTAAAAAAATGCTGACCTTATCATCCAAAGTGAAGCGATGATAAATTCCAGCAGGAAGAACAATCAAATCACCCTTTTCTACAAAAATGCGGATCCACTTGTCTTCATAATTCCTGACGTCAAAATATCCACTACCATCCATAATGAATCTGATTTCCTCATCTGAATGAAGATGCTCTTCAAAGAACATCTTGATCTGAGGAAAACAATGAAAGAAACCTCAAGTTCATTTTAAAACTGGTTCAATTAGATCAAATTACAAAACCTACATTTTCAACCTATATGCTTCAGGTCTAAATTAACCCTTTAAGGTGGCTCGATACAGTTTTTCAGGGTCAATACCTCCCAAGTTTAAGCGTAAACTACGTCGCCATAAACAAAGTTTTGGAAAAACTGCCACTACAGTTGTATTAGATAAAGATGAAAATTTGTTATGATCAGGGTTGCAACGGCATCGGAGTTGTCATAGCAACGAAATGACGCTACTACCTATTTTACTTGCAGAAGTATATCTCGGCACTGAGAACTGTTCTTCGAAAATCATTGACGGGAGCTTTTTCCTCCAATAGCAGCCTCGATGTTCGTGAAGTTTAAGCGAAATCTGTAAGAGCGTTATCGAAATATTTTGGGATGAAGATTTTGTGGCTAGAAATACGGTAAAAAATGGACAATCTTGGTGTTCGGCTGTTATCTGTAGAAAACGAAGCGCTTTTGACATGCAATTTAACCTCACAGTAGTTTCAATCTTTTTAAAAACGTGTGTGAAAGATCAAGCAGATAGCTCCAGCCGATTGCTAGAAAGAAGGATTTGATTAGTATGCATCGAGGCGCTCTTGTCGGCGGTTTTTTTAACATTTTGGTCTACTTTAACAAATTAGCAAATAATTTTTAAACCGCTCGATAGATTTTATAAAAATTTAATATTCTTAAGATTAACCTTCTTTTTATATGACCTTTTAGTTTCAAGATTATTGATATATTGTAAGGCAGTAAAATAAAGGCTACAATTCGCTAATATTTTGGCAGAAAGTTTGTGTTTACAAGTGTGAGCCTCTCATTATTCAGGGTATTGTGTCCAAGTTTCATATTTTCGTGCAAAACAATAGCTAGCATTTTTGCATATTTCAAATGCATTGTTAGTTACTGCCGTTCACGTGAAGATGAAACTTGGAGACAATGCCTTGAATAATTAGAGGCTTTCACTTGTAATGACGAAACTTCCGATGAAAAAGTAGCAAATTGTAGCCGTTATTTTACTGCCTTACAATATATCAATAATCTTGAAACTAAAAGGTCATATAAAAGGAAGGTTAATCTCAAGAATCTTAAATTTTTAAAAAAATCTATCGAGCGGTTTAAAAATTATTCACTAATTTGTTAAAGTACACCAAAATATTGACAAAACCGCTAACAAGAGCGCTTCGATACATACTAATCAAACCCTCCTTTCTAGCAATCGGCTGGAGCTATCTCCCATGATCTTTCACACACGCTTTTAAAAAGATTGAAACTACTATGAGGTGAAATTTCATGTCGAAAGCGCTTCATTTTCTACAGATAACGGCCAAACAACAATATTGTCCATTTTTTAATGTGTTTCTAACAATAAAAACTTTATCCCAAAATATCTCGATAACGCTCTTACAGATTTCGCTTAAACTTCACGAACATCGAGGCTGCTATTGGAGGAAAAAGCTCCCGTCAATGATTTTCGAAGAACAGTTCCCAGTGCCGAGATATAATGCTGCAAGTAAAATAGGCAATAGCGTCATTTCGTTGCTATGACAACTCCGATGCCGTTGTAACCCCAATCATAACAAATTTTCATCTTTATCTAATACAACTGTAGTGGCAATTTTTCCAAAACTTTGTTTTTGGTGACGTAGTTTATGGTCAAACTTGGGAGGTATTGACACTGAAAAACTGTATCGAGCCACCTTAAGCCCCAATATCCACTTACAAATTCTCCAAACTGATCTCCATACATTTCCTTTAAGAATTAGTTGAGAGAACTTAATAAAAGATCGAGGCATTTTCTCTTTATGATCATTTTATGAATTCCCCTAACCTTATCTCTTGACTATGTATGGATACCATTAGGAGAAAAATGATGTTGGTCACTGTTGGGACTTTTAAGTCCCTCAATTTAACCCTTTAAAATGGGTTAAAATTATTCAGATTAGTTTTCTTTTCCCCTTAACCTACAGTGGGTTGTAGTTCCTGAATAATTAGGGCCAGGAGACACAGGAAATTGAGAATCAACCTTATTGGGTTGACCTAGGTTTGACCTGATTTCAATTTGACCCATAACAGATACAATGTACATGAAGTGGGCAGCTGACTGGCCACTTCACTTAACAAGTTGAATGTTGGAGTTTCAGCGACAACATTAAGAGTAACAAGCTGTTTTTTGCCCCCTCCCTTCTCCGCAAAGGCTCCTGCAGCTATCTAAAAAAAATGGTTGATCCAGACTACCAACATGTACTTGGAGAAAAATTAAAAACTTTCTGTATTACATTATTGTCTAGTATGTAAATAGCTAATAACCCACTGTAATTTTATTTATCTATTGTATTTTTTATTTTTATTTTTTTACAATTCCTTACTGACATTTCCACTTCATAATGGACATTTTCACAAATGGCCTGACAAGTCTACAGTTTTCATTTTGAAACACTTTAATTAACAAGAACTGTTTTCAAATGGTTTATCCTTCCACTTCTGCTTCCAACCCCAAAAATCGGCTTTTCATCAGATCATAAGTGACAGATTCATAAGCAGAGTTGGAAGAAGATGAAAATGTTGTAATTCCTCAAACTCTGATTACATGCACGTCTTATTGATGACTCTCCTTATGGCACCATTTGTTTTTCACTAGGTCATTAAGTGTCAGTCATAAGCAACAATATGACTCTGCTGATGACTCTGACCAGCCTTTATTACGTGTATGTCCATTAACTGGCTTTACAAACCTTCTGCTCATAGTTCGGTAGTTTCTCAGGTGTACATGTAATGCAGTCACTGTAAGTGTAGCCTCGTTGAGCACGAATCTCTGAAAGTTTACCTTCCTTCTCAAAGTTATCAGCATCCAACTATTAAGGTAACAACCCCAAAGTTACTTCACATTGTACATCATTGATTGTTTGTAACATTGTTGTACCTCTTGTTGTTTAGCTTGAGAAAACAGCCAACATTTTGCAATGCTACCACTGGTTTCCTCATGAAATAATGTTTGAGGAATGTACACAGAAATTCCACACTGATGATACTGCTAATTAGATCAGGGTACCAGTTAGCCTGCATCGCAGACATAATTTAACCTCTGTGGGTAACATCTGCGAAGCAGTGCCCATATCCTTGTTCTGGGCCACCAACGGATTTGATAAATTACCAGAACAACATTTGGAATTTCCTTTCATCTTGTTTGGCAAATCAACAATGACATTTTTAACCCTATAAGTCCCAAGAGTGACCAAAGTCAATTTTCTCCCAACAAAATCAATACATAATCAATGGAAAATGTTGTGAGAATCAATAAAATAATCACCTGATGGGAAAAGCTTTGATCTGCTTTCAAATTCTCTTAACCAATTCTTGCAGGAAATGTATGGAGATCAGTCTGGAGAGTTTGTATTTGGATACTGGGGCTTAAAGGGTTAACAGGCAAATCTTGGCACGTACTCAAATCCCAGTACACAGGTGGGGCCCAGAACAAGGATTTTGGCGCTAGTTCACAGACAGACTTAACCAGAGGTTAGTTTCGTCTGTGGCACAGGCTAGGTACTAGTAGGGGAAATTTTGCTTCAACCAATAAGAAGCACTATACAGATCTGAGTACATGCAGTGATTTGCCATTGGTATGGCAACTCAGACATCATGCAGGGATACCAGTTTTTTTGGTCCCACAAAATCTTGGCTGTGTTCTCAGTCTAGTTGTGGTTGAATTACATTTTAGCGTTGGCTTAATTTCTTCCCTTTTGTTTCAAACTAGCATTAAACTCCCCCAACATAAAGGAAAATAAATGAATTTGACCCAAAACAAATAAATAAGAAATAAATAATAATAAACTACCTAAGGCACTTCCCATCAATCTAAAAAGGAAGCCATAAGTCATAGCTACAAATTTGTTAGTCATGATCTTATACCCTGTGTCTGCTTAAAATAAACTGCAGAGAATTTCCAGCTAAAATTGATATGGCGCGAAGATAACAGCGAAGGAATAAAAGGGATTTTGTGAATCAAGGGTACTCCACCGTTATCAGCAGCAGAATATTACACCGAAATCCTCAATTTAGCAGTCTGCATGTTCTAAAGCCCATATAATGGCTATAGAAATCATGCAAATTGTGCAGCCAGTCTGTGATACGTGACGAACATTCAGTTCGCGTGATCTGAGCTCCTTACCTTCCAGTACAGCACGCCACAGTTCTCCAAATCTTCTAAGGACACTGGCTGAGGCGGATCAAGCTGATGAGGAAGTCTCTGATCTTCATCTGAGGAGTCCATAAACCATGCCTTCACCATTTTAACCTGTTTACGATAGCGAACAAGTTTAGGGTAACTTCTGACAACAGATATTGGTTCGCTGCGATCAATCAGAAGACAACACCTAACGCTCCGAAAACGCCTAAAAATAATATATCGAAGAAAATATATTACTCACGTTAAAACGAATTAATCGCCAAAAAAAACTTGCAAAGATGAAGAGACACGAGAAAATATGGCGATTGCAAAATTCTCAGGGGGCCTGGAAACACGCGAAATGTAACACGTTATCCCTAATAATTTATCACAGGTTACCCAAGCTTAAAATTTGGCTGCAACGGCTCAAAAAACCTCACAAAATAGCCATTTATAGGCTCGGGAACCACACAGGAAAAAAGAAGCACACAATTTACGTAAGTCTAGCTGATTTTTGTTTTTAAAAAATTCCTTTACGTTCGTAGGTTACAGAAACTATCTTCCCCCACCCCTCCCCCCTTAAAAGACTTATAATTTGAAGGTTACGCAATAATGCCGATTTTAGCCGCAAGGTTTTCGTCCTGATCATGATTAGCTACCACTCTGAAAGGCGTGGGTAGAGCCAGACCGAAATGAACGAAAAATGACTGAAACCAAGAGATTCTCTTTTGCTGAAAATCAATGGTCTATTTAATTCTTCAAGCTGATCGTACCACGTGAAAATTAACTTTGCAAGACATCAACAGGACATCCCCTAACAGGGTTTTTCAATCTCGCCATCCCGACCGTTAATTTTCCCTAAATCCGGCTAATCCCGACTATTATTTACGGCTAATCCCGATCCTAAACGCACTTACTTATATTACAACGCCTTATATTTATAGGGGTTCCAGATTTCTTAACTCAAAATTTATTGTTCTTGAACGATCGGCCTGCATGAAGATGCTTTTCTTTTTCCTGCTCGCCCCCTTTTCCTTGAGCAACAAAATAAATAGAAGACGTGCTAAGTACGAGCTACTCAACCTACTCAACGCTGCAGCGAACAGGCGTTGACTAGTACTTTCTCGTGTTCCGTAGCGCGAGCGGAAGCAATCCCGAGTCACGCGCGAAGGGGTGACTCGTGCTCCGCGCTCGCATCGGCTCACCTACGAAGTCTATAGAGTCACCTAAAAAAGCCAAAATGTCTGTTCTCCAAGCGTAATATACACTCAACATGTTGCGGAATACAATCAACTCTCATTATAGCAGACACTGCAGGCACCATGAGGAAGTGTCCTTATTAGCGGAAGTCTGTAATAGCGGGAGTTTATTTTTGTCAAATGTTTGTCAGTGATTTATTTTTGCCTGGGCCCGGGGGGGGGGGAGATACTACCTTATATAGGCCATATAGGTATGCGCCCCCACTGGGTAGGGTTTTTGCGCCGTTTTGGTCTGAAAACAGGTATGCACTTTACCGATTTTGATCTGAAATCGGGTTGGGTTTTCGAGGGAACTACGGGAGTGTATGAACATTTTTGTCGTTTCAATTCCAAATGAGTAAGAAAGAAAGAGAAATATGCGAATTCGAAATGGAATGGAAGAATTTTTGTGTTTGCGCTCTAACGGCTAAGTAATGATAACATAATTTTTGCCAAAAGGCCAGATCTGAAAACGGGTATGGATAATTACATTTTTTGGTCTGAAATCGGGTCAGGGTTTGAAGAACCGGGCGGTACACCCCCAGCAATAATTCCCAGGGGTACCACCCCCCCGCGGGTACCTGGGATTTAGCTGTTGTCCGTCTGCGAGGCGATAGTCGACTGTATATACAATCATTCGTGCTCCCATTTTGCTTATCAGTGCGTTATAACGAACGTGACGTTCAACTGTATCGAGTCATCAGTGCCGCGATACAAAATCTTCCAATATAGAAGGAAATAAAAAAATATATTGGTCAGTCCGCGTGGTAAATGTTCTTAAAAGGGGAAAATAAATACTTTTATGAGAATTTAAAAAAGGAGAGTTTGCCACCATCACTGTTGTACGATAATCTCTTTACTTTAGCAGCCCGCTGACAAGTTCCCGTTGTTTTCGTTGCCGGATAATAATAATCTTCCGAAACAGAATAAGTTGTGGGAAACGCCTTCATCAAGAACGCAGAAAGAACACAGCATTCTAAAATAACCATTGGCTCGCTCCACGTAAGGAAATCCGGACTCCGGAATCCCAGTAGTTTGTTCTTGTGGAATCCAGCCTCTGGGAAAAATTTTCTTCTGGAATTCGGAATCTTGGGCTTTGGAGTTCGGAATACCGCTCAAGGAATCCAGAATCCCACGAACAATAAACACTTGGAATCCATAATCCACTGACAAAGACTGGAATACAGTACCTGGATTCCGGAATCCAAGGCGTGGAATCCAGAGTCCAAGACTGTCTTGGATGACGCTACATGGCGAGTTGGCATGTTGTTTCTTTTCAGCGGCCGACGGTTTAAATCTGAATATTTTTCTTCTTTTGTTTACCACCCCTCTACAACTTTTGCCTTTGAATATGCGCCCCGAGACACGCTTAATTGAAGATACCAATACTAATTGTAAGAGTTTGAGGGCAGAACAGAGAAAAAGATATTTTGTCACTGGGAGAGAAGGCGGAAAATAGTTTTATTGTTCCGTTTAAAGTCTTAAGAGGCTTAAAGGGTGGGAAATTCCATCATCCGGTTTAAAAGGAAGCAGCATTTTTTGGTTGTTCCTGGGCTAATAGGCAGTGTTACATTTGTATTTTTTTTGTTTCTAATTATTATTCTTTTGCTTTATATTGTTTAAATTCTTTAAAGAAAATAATATTTGGCAATCAAATTCGGAACTTTGAAGTGTGCCAATTTCCGTTTGATATTTAAGTAACTCCTGTTTTGTCAATCAATATTTAACTCGCTCACCAAAATAAAAGCTTCTCGGTTTACAGAAATTCCTATTTTGTGACACACACGGTATCTGAGCCCCTATCGTGAAGTTATGGATCCCTCGCGTGTTGTTGTTGTTTTTCGCTTTTCGAAGGAGAAAAATCCTTCTCCAGTTGAGAAAGCCAGGAACCTTTCTTCTTTCTTGCTAAAGTACTGAAAAATTGATTTGAGTACTTGCTAAGTTTCATCGTTTTATTAACGCAATTAGAACAGTTCGGTTGAAGGACCCCGTTCGAAGTACAATGAAGGAATTTGGACTGATGTTGGGTAAGTAGAATGTCTTCTTTATTAGTACCGATTTACTGACTGTCATTCTGAACGATTCTTCACATCGTGACCGACATTTTAATCTGCATTTAGGTTTATTGTCCTTCGTTTTAATTTCACGGAAGAGTTCGGTAATTGGACGGACACTTACTCCATTTGTTCAGTCAAGTATTGTTGTTGGCCCCTCTGCTGAAGTAACCGTTTCTGCGAGACAAGAGTCAATACGACAATACAACAACACGAGACAAGAAACTGAAACAAAGCCGTTCTTTAAAGTAACAAGTTATTGGAGAGAAACAATTACTACAACGACCAAAAGGAATGAATATTCGTTTACAAATGCCTCATCCAAACAACTCTTGCCCGCTTTATCAGTGACTTTGGTCTCTCGATCGCTGTTAAATGACTTTATCAAAAGCTCATTATCTACAAACGTGCAGCCGGAAAGTTTTGCGCCGAGATATCCATCGCTAAATGAAAAAGACAGTGTCTCAAGTAGCCACGAAAATGGTTTTGCGATATCGTCAACTCTCTACAATGTGCTTGCAGCGGAAATCATTCCGACCACGTCCCAAGTCAATGGACTTAGCAAAGCTTCGTCGACGAGAGATAAGTCGCATTTGTCAACCTCTCAAAAAGAAGATAAATCTCGTGACAGCTCTCAAGAAGCTTTTATTAAATCAGCTTTCTTTGATCCACGCGGCGTATCTAATGTGTTTAACTCGTGGACAGCTCAATTTACAAGTTCCATGTCGCACGGTGACAGTGTATATAATGCTGTAGTAAGCAAAAATGAAACAGAAATGTTTACTAAAGGATCAGTTGCGCTGACAAACGGGCTAAGGACTTCTTCACCCGCATCGACCATCCGGAAAACCGCGGAATTAAAGCTTCTCTCACAGGCGGCATCGCTTTCATCGTTTCGCAAAGAAACTTTTCAACACAGCGTGAAAACATTTGACACCAAAATAACTTCTGAAGCCATTAGAGAACAATTTGCCGGTATTTCTGGCATTTCGAAAACAACTGAGAATGGAAAATTGACCCTTATATATGAAGGCTTCACTTCTTCGTTTATTTCAACTGTGCTTGCCACTGGAGTGTCCTCAACCTCTGTAAAAACTTCCTCAACTTCTAGACCACCCAGCATGAAGCAGCACAATGTGTCTCTCTATCTGTCTGTGATGACTTCACCAGTTGTTCTAAACAAAATGTCTACTAACTCGATGACAACTTCCACAGCGCCTTTACCCCACATGTCTGTCAGCGCGAACAGCAGCAAAGTTTCTTCGAGATCGAAAAGCGAATTCCACACGTCGTCAATAGAAAAGAAAAACAGTGATGTACTTAGTTTATCTTCCAGCTCGACACAAACTAGTGATGGCGGTGAATCAGATGTTTCCACTCATGAATCTATATCTTCTGTAGTTCCAAAAGAATCACTTCGTTCTTCAGATCTCTCTGATTTTGCTGGAAGAAGCTCCTATCTGACGGAAGGAATGCAAACCGCACCTTTCTCACGGCCAAAAACAAGTCAACAAACATATCTCTTGTCCACATCTCTTGTAAAAGCCTTCTCAGGTTCGGTAGACATTCCTCAAAATGCTGGAAAACAGACACCAGTGAGTTCTAAACAATCAACTGCGTTGGGCGAAAATCTGTCTTCTTCCTTCTTATTACATACAACGATCACCATGCGCTCAAAATTCCGGTTTGTTTTTGATGCGTCTAATTATAAACATTTCTCCAAATTGATGGTCCCTGGTAGCAGACATCCTTCTTCTATTTCCAGTAGTAATGCTTATCGTGTTCGTTTCTCTCAGTTCACCAAGACCTCCGCTGTGTCCAATGGACTTGTCGCTGCATCCTCCCGTGTAAAAGACCATCCTCAGATATCACAGATAGCTTCGTCTATGCATAATATCAAATTTCTTGTTGGCGTATCGTCCTCTCGGAGTTTACCTGCGAGTACACCACCGTCTACATCCATTGTATCCTTGTCGAGCAGATTTTCGATTCCAAACCAAAGCGGAACTATTTACACTGATACTTGGTATCGAAGGTCTCACCTATCATCTCAGAGTTCAACTGTGTCATCGGAACTAGTCGTGTCATCATCATCAACAACAACAACACCATCGCCATTACAATTACAATTACCATCAAAATCATCAGCACCACCATCGCCATCCTTCTTACCGTCACTGTCACCATCATCACCGACACCGTCATCTCCCCAATCATCAAGATTATCATCAACATCCCCACCATCACCTCTACCATTACCAACACCATTACTATCCACATCACCGTCGTCGTCATCATCATCAGTACCATCACTGTCACTTCCCCATTCACCACCATCATCATCACTGTTACCATTATTAACAACACGATCACCATCACCATCAAGACAATCACCTCCATTGCACTCACCATCATCAACACCATCCACATCACCGTCACTGTCACTACCATCATTGCCGTCATCTCCTCAACCATCATCGTCACTATCATCATCATCCTCATCATCATTACCATTATCAACAAGACCATCAACATTCATATCATCGTCACTGTTACTATCATCATTGTCATCGTCCACATCACCGTCACCGTCGCCGTTATCGACATCATTAACACCATCACCTTCACCTCCCCAATCACCATCATCATTACCGACACCATTATCAACTACACCATTGCAATCACCATCATTATCATCATTACCAGCATCATCACCATTATCAACAACATCACCGTCACTATCTCCTTCTTTATCATCACCATCGTCACCGTTACCATCACCAACACGGTTGCTGTCACTGTCACCTCCCCCATTAACATCATCACCATCATCAGCAACACCATCGTCACTGTCACCATCGTCATTGTCATCATCATCTTGGACACTGTCACCTCCCCCATCACCGCCATCATCATCATCATCATCATCATCATCATCATCATCATCACCACCACCATCAACGTCGCCATTATTAACAGCACTATCACGATCCACATCACCGTCATTGTCACCACCATCATTTACATCACAATCACCGGCATCTCCTCAATCATCATCATCATCGTCATCATCATCATCACCACCATCATCATCGTCATCATCATCATCATCGTCAAAATCACCATCCTTATCATCAACGAAGAAAATCGTCATTCAAAGATATTCCAGTGTCACTGGGTTTTATTACGAACCATCACTTTCCAAGTCAAACATGAGATCTAAAGTTTTTCTATCATCTCATCAGAGTTCAACTTTATTCACAGAAGAGCATTTACCATCTTCTTCCTGGCAGACCTTCTCTAAGACACAACAGGATAAAAGTTCTTATCCGAGAGAAATTCACCGACAATCGGTTACAAAAAGTTCTGGTGTTACACACCAAAGTAATTTTTTGTCTTCTAATAGCTCGGTTGTGTCAGGAAAATATGTTACTGCATCATCACTGCCCGCGATTGTCCGCTCCAAGATCCCACGTAATATAAGCTCTTTCTCCACTCCACTCTACAAGGAACCAAGAGCACCTAGTTCAGTAACTGCAGGTAAAAGTCGTCTGTTCTCTACACAAAGTTCCTTCACGCCACTGTACCTCCACTCATTCCATGGCTTAATCACGTCAAACAAGCTCGGTGTTGCGTCCGCTGGACAAATCCCAAATAGCTTTTTTAAGACTCAACACCACACACCCTCCATTATCACCAGTGGCCTCCACGGACGGCTACCGGCTTCTACGTCCAAGATTGGACATCAGCCTCGAACTATCTCTACTGAGAGCTCAACGTCATCCCTAGATAAGCACGCATATAGCCGCTACCAGACACCACACACGGAGTCGTTGGTTTTAACTCTTACCTATCAACCGATGCCTTCTACATTAGAAAGCGCACATCAAGTAAACTTTTCATCTCCCCATACCTCACTTGCATCAACAGTCTCGCCTTCCTCTCAACCAAAGATCAGCTCCCATGTTCTTCAGAGGAGAAGCTCCGCCGAATTAAATTTGCCATTTACCAGACCAATCCTAAAAACTATTACAACAAGCGTTGTTTATAAAGAAAATATGAAGGGGTCTTCACTGGACAGTAGTGGTACTTCGCCAATCCAGGAGATCACATCTGCAGTGAACGTAAGCACATAATATGGTACTTAACAAATAGAGTGTACATAAGTGATATAATAGCCTGCGAGCAAGCTCTCCGGGGGATACGGTGGTGGGGTGGGGTGGGGTGGGGTGGGGGGTAGGAAGAGGGGAAGCCCCACCACCAGAGCGCCCCGAAAAGCTTGATTGCAACGCAGGCTAGTGTTATAAATTAACGCCTTTTGGAGACTTGTACAACAGCAAATTGTATGCTGTCATACATCGCTTGAACTTATATCGCGTGGTAAAAGTGATTGGCAGCAGTTAATTATTTTTAAAATGTTTTGCAGTCTTGCTTCTCTTTTAACCTCGACTGTAAGTTGGAGGCTGGAAAGTAGGCAAAGATGTTTTTCGTAAGATTTTTGATAAATGCATTCATCCCACTTGGCGTAACCAAAGGAAATCTCCAACTGAAGGAAATATCGGGATGACCGTGATTTATTTAAGGGTTACTTAAGCAAACGTTACATTCAAACTTGCATGAAACAGTCACCCTTGTGAAATGGCCGTGTGACCGTTTAATACATGTCACGTTACCGTTAAATACAGGCTTGACCAGCCTACGCGTGAACTTAGGAAAGAACATTCATATGATTACGGAGAGAAGTACGATCGCAAACCTAATAATCCTCAAATGGTTTCCTATTTGACTCTCTGTACACGCGTGAACTGAGGAAAGAACATGGTTACGGAGAGAAGTACGATTGCAAACCAAATAATCTTCAAATGGTTTCCTATTTGACTCTCCGTGCAAATAAAGGACAGTACAGACAATTAGGATTGGAGCCATATGAATAAAGACAATAATAAATGGCAGCAGATGTTTTAAACGATAACTAAGTTTTTTAGTTGATAATATCGGGATAAGGTCAAATCAGTAAAAGCGGTCACCTTTTTTATTGCGGAGCCGCTTGCTAAATAAGGTCTTCTTTTACCGTACAAAAAGTGGAAATACAGTGAAACCTCTATTAAGCGGACCCCCAATTAAGCGGACACCCTCTATTAAGCGGATACTAAGCCCGGTCCCGAAGGAACATCTTATATTTCCCTTTATAACGAACCCCTGTTCAGCGGACACCTCTATTAAGCGGACGCGGACACTAAAATAAGTTGTATTTGGCTAATTTCTATTGTTAAAAACCACTATTAAGTGGATACCTGAGTAAATTGACAATAGTAGTATTGGATTACGTCCTTGAAATACGTACTGAAGTCAGTTAATATTTTTGCATTTACAGACAAATTAAAGTAGGTAATAGCCGGTAATGAAAGGTAATGAACTTGACCTCTGGATGGCTTCTTTAACAACATGCAGCTTTATCACAGTACAGAGCAACCGTTGAATGTTGATCGTTAACAAACATTGCGCAATTTTTACAACCTCTATTAAGCGGACACCCTCTATTAAGCGGACACTGTGGAAGGTCCCGAAGGTGTCCGCTTAATAGAGGTTTCACTGTAATACTTTTGCGAATCGGCGCCGAGATCTTTGTTCTGAGACCCCAATGGACTCAACAAATTACCGGAAATACGTCTCGAATTTCCTGTCAACCAGATTAGCAAATCGACAATGATACACAGCTGGGGGCGCCAAGGATGTTTCACTTTCTAGTTCCGTCTGAGGCGCAGGCTACAACCTCAGCTCTAACCCCAAGACCCACATACAAATTCTCCAGACTTACCTCCATACATTTTTTTTTTAAGAATAGTTAAGAGAATTTGGCTTAAGATCAAAGCGTGCTCCCTTCGGTAAGCAATTTGATAATTCTCATACAACCGTTACTCTTGATGATCTGATGCTGTTGGGAGAAAAATAAAGGGTTAATGAAGTTTCGCAACTTGCTTCCATAGGTCCCCCAGATACCAGCACCAAGCATACAGCTTGGCACCACAGTACCCCCAAAGGATAACATGTCCACGTCTTCACCTGCAGATGTCGCGGGTCATCCATCCACGGAACAACCAACCACGTCAATAGCTGAGGTGAGCAATGTCAAGCTCCTTGTTATTGTTGCAACAGTGCCAAGCATCGTCCTGTGCATCTTCTTCGTTGCTGTAATGTTCTTTCGACGAAACCGCAGACGCAAGAACAATTTCAAGTACTCCATCAAGTTGGAATACATGGACAGTCTTCGTTCTAGGTGCGCGAACAGTCGCTTAGATCTGAGCTTGAAGGAAATCCACATCGATCTAGAGATGCCGAATTTATCGAACGACAGACGGGACAGTATCGATTGCTCACGCGGGACGAGTTTGACTGGCACGCAGATAAGGGAATTACAGATTCTATCCCAAGAATGTAAGGAGAATCTAGAGTGGATCAGTGAGGTGATTGCTCGCGATATGGGGACATCAATGTGTCCCCGGCAACCCGTTAATCGTGATAGTGTTTACTCAGTTAAAGAAAAAGGAAGTTACGAACCGAGCGCAAAAATTATCAGGAGGGAGTCTTCAAAGCGAGGCAGAGAGACGATTAAGTGGAGAGTGCCGATAAAGCGTCGTCGTGATTCAGGAGAATTTGATCAAAATGATTCCGTTTGTACAGAGGATACAACATTGACTTCAGAATGGAAAGATGAACGAGAAGTTGATGGAGAAAGGAGTAAAGGTGTCGACAAATCCTGCAAAATTAAACGAACTCCAAGCCATTTAAGCGAGGATCGTCGAGTTCCAGTGCCTAGTAAAAAACTCCCCGAGCTTCAAGAACAAGAGAAAGACAGGAAAGAAACGGAACTTGATGACAATAGACCAGGCATTGATTTCAATCCTAAAAAAGAAGAAAAACCTCATGCAAAGCGTTCAGGGAAGAGATTTGAAACTTTATGAAACAGCTCTAACTTCAACCCTGGTCAAAACTCTTGGGAAACTAACGCAATAGCTCGTCAAAATGACACATTTTCCCTACACCCTCCCCCCGTGCAGTGTTGACGTTATGCATTCAGGATGTTTTGACCAGGGTTGTAGATTTCTTTTTGGTCTGACTGTGCGCTCAGCTTTAGCTCTTTATATTACCCCGCGGACACCGCCCTTGCACTTATTGCCTAGTGAAAAGAAAGAAGTCGGTGCACGTGTCGTAAGTCGAGCTATAAGCTCGATGACATCACAGTAGAAAAAATAACTTCCACTGTCAATCAAACTTAAATTGCCCCGAAAGTTCTGGAAATTTTCCACCATTTTAATTTTTTCTGCAACTTCGTGACTGTGCGGTCGTTGCATTGTTGTTGCATACAAAGTTGACGCGACCGAATGAAGTCATAATTTCCTTTTTCAAAATGGTGGCCAGTGGAAATTATACAGTAAATATTATCGACATCCAAACTCTTTTAGTCTCCCTCACAGCCGTCTTTTGACATGTCACACAACGTTCCTCCAAAAGGGAACGTTGCGTGACATCCCAAAAAAAACGGCTGCGAGGGAGACTTTACTTTGATGCATTCAAAGAAAGTTGCTTTCTAATTCTTACAGAAAAAGTTGGAATGTAATTTTAATTATGAAAGGAATATAATATTAGGCCTCCTAAATATATTAATGCTACGTTTAGCTAGCAAGGAAGTAAAAATATGCGAGAATTTGTTTTATAAACAAAATAAAGGTGTTTCTTTTCGCTAGTTTCAGTTACAAAGTCGCGCTAACTTGTATTATCAATCCGCTTAACATTCAATGAGAAGCGCTTAATTTTAAATGGATTACATTTAACAGGCTAACTTCGCTAAAGTATAAGCCGATTTATTTTTTTTTTCTGTCTGACAAATCTCTAGTAAGTTACACTGCGTCTGAGCGTTCTGTTACACGCAATACCCTGAACATGTCCTTTCCTCTATTGAATTTTCTTGTCTTGGAACAGAGACTGATACTTTTCAGTCGTTTGGGCTTTAGCTCTGCGGGCTGGAAATAATCTTTTCTTGGTCTAAGGAAATATTACGGGGAATTATCTATATATGTCTAGTCTGCGGTTGTGGCCAAATAGAAGCAGATATATATCCGCGGTGTTAAGCTTTATCTTTTTAAAATCACAGTTTCAAGTTGTGCGACATGGCCGGCAAAAAATAGCTTGCGAGGAAACTCCAATTTGGGAGGGGATGGAGGGGAGTTAACTGTGTGAAGTCACGCGAAAAGAGAGGGAGCGCAAGGGGTGATGGAAAAGCGGAAAGATGGGAGAAGCTCTCCCTTTCGTTTTCCGGTTAGCTCGGATCCCGGGCTGGGAAAATTTACCATATAATCCCCATCGAGTTTGCCGAGCCCAGACTACGAGTAGTCCCCCATTTTTCCTCAGGGATAGCAGAGCGAGCGAAACGCGAGCGCGAGTGAAATGATTTTCACGCGCGCTCGCGTTTCGCTCGCTCTACTATCAGTGAGGAAAAATGGGGGACTACTCGTAGTTTAGCCGAGCCAAATAGATATGCAAACCATGCTAACAGTAAGATAGGAAAGTGGAGAGATAAGCTCAGCTGGTAGAGCGCTTAACTACAGAGCGGAAGGTCGTGGATTCGATTCCCGGGGCCGGACCAATACTCAGGGCCTCAGAATAACTGAGAACTGAACTGAACTATTATTTATTTATTGTTTGGCACTCCGCAAACAGAAAACATTAAAAACACAACGAAAAAGATAGAAAAGTAACACAATTAATGACGAGGAAGCCTAAAAGAAATCTCTTAAAACTAAAGCTTATTTTAATCAGAGCCTTTAGTTATGTTACAAGATGAACAAAATTAAGATATCAAAAAGGAAAGATACAAAAATTAATACTCTGACAACACATTCATCCAAGGGCGCTTGTCTGATGCAAATAAGCACCTTATTTTACTGAGGTGTTCATAAACAAGATTAAAACTTCAAAAAGAAAGATAAACCAAAGGTGATATGTGACAATAACCACCTTAATTATTTCAATGATGTCTCTAAACAAAATTAAAATATCAAAAAAGA